CACAGAATTTGACCGATACGCAACGTAATATATAAGTTGGTCCAAATTCTTAAATATATAACTAAAAAGCATACACATCGGCAATAAAACAACTCTCAATAAACTAAACTTAGAGAAGATTAAATTAATTTAAATGTCCCTAAGATATTTAGAGATTTTTAAATAAATCTATATATATTAAAATTTTGTGCAAATAGATTTTTAAATTTCAAATTAATTTTAATTGAATTCTTGATCATATTGTTAGTAGGGTCCTGATAAATGCAGGGACCTAATTAAAAAAATTATTTTTATAAGCAACTTACAAAATAGGTAAATTAATTGCCTAGTTTTTGAACAACGGAAAGACTTCACTTTGGTATATTTAACAGAATCTTAATGCGAACACCTAATTAAAAAAATTAAAAATTTAAGAATTTATTTGCAAATTTTTAAAATATGAAGGCTGACTTTAAAAATTTAAATTATTCAAAGATACATGTTAATTTAACTTACTAATTAAAATGAAATTAATAAAAAAAACTTTAGAAAAATTATAACATTGCCATGGCTCAGTTTGGTTTAAGTTTTCAATAAATACTTATAAAAAACAATAATAAATTAAATTAAATTCTTTCACGAGTTAAAATTAATTTTTTTCTATTTTTCTAATTTCTATAAATAAAATTTATTCATTTTCTTATTTCATTTTCTTTTCTTATTCGTGATTGATTAGAATTTATCCAAGCTGACCCATATAAAAAATAAATTTAAAAAATTATAAATAAAGTATGATTTTGCAATGGGAACGAAACCCTTCCTCCATCCACAACTTGTTAAGGCTTCTTCTTTCTTCTTTATCATTGATCATTGGCTGTTGGAGGTAGGGTCAAAAAATAGAAACTTTTGAACCCCTAAGTGGGTCATCTAAAAGTTCAAGTGTGGGACCTAAACAATCATGAATTCTACAATTGTTTATTTGTTTCCTTCTGCTTCGTCTTCTTAAAAAAGTAACTTATGGAAGTTAACAAAAGATGGAACAAAATAAGCCAACTTAATTCTAGAATGAATCAAACCGTACCGTTTCAACTCCAGGCTTTAAAGCTTTAGTGCAGTTGTTTGCAAGCTAATAAACGAGTTCACAAAATTTCAGGGTTCATACAGAAGCAACATGCTCCACACCACTAGATAAAATATACATGAGCTATATTTACAAGCAAAGAATACTTTCTATATTTGTTTAACTTCTTATTCCTTTGCGATAGAGAGCCATTGCCTTTTTGTTCAAGCTGCATGTAATATAATATAGTAGAGAAAACTACATTCAAACAAAAAGTGAAACCTAAGCTTGTTTCATTACATTATATCCAAGAAGACATATATCTAATAAGGTTTATCGATGTGAAACTTTTATCAACAATTTCTGAACGTGAAAATTGCTTTTTCATGATTGTTTTTGTATTCCTGCTGTACTTACTGTGCTGAAAAACGAACAAACAGTGACTCTCTTTTGATTTTCTTTTATTTTCTGGATTTTTCTTTCAGTGCAACTATAAACATCGTAAATGTATTTTGATATCTCTTTCATAATGCTTCAAATTCAAAACTTGTTTTCCTCAGGTTGGAACCTAGCTAGCTACACATTAAATAATATATGTATATCCAACCACGGGTCTATTATAGCCCTAATATAAAGCAACAACGCCTGATTAATTACATTAGAGTTTAGACACAATAATTTGGTCTAATAGGTCAAAATAAAATAATATTACATCATATATAGAACTATAATTGAAACGCTAAAAAATATGATCATAGTTTCGGTGCCTCCTATATTTTAAAATCATGGTCTTATTAGTACGAGCACACGTATTTTCATTGGTGCTCTTAAATAGCAAAAATTTTGAAAAAACAAAAACTAAACTCGTTTAATATATATGATAAGATTTTAATAATAAAATATGTGAGTTGAATTACAATATCATAGGATAAAAGTAAGATAAATTCATATATATATATATATATATATATATATATATATTAAAACAATAAATTAGATATTATGACCTGTCTATTTTTAATTTAGAGTCTCTCACATAATAAAATTTACACTAAAGAAAAGAATAAAATTAGGTCACATAATAGAGTTATTATATCATATTAATTAAACTAAATATTAAAATTAGGATAACATAAAAAATATATATAATTTTTTTTATTCTATCCACAAACAAGTCTAAAAAGTATTTTGAAAAGTTTTATTTTCATGTAAGTTTATTAAAAACTTTAACATTCATATTATACTACTTTGAGGTGGACCGGACACCCTCATTGATAGAACAAAAACAAGTTCTGCTTTTGCGAGTGACTAATGATTGTTATTTCATTGTGGTTAATTATTATCATAATTAACCTATTACAATATTAAATAATATATAATATAAAATAATTCTTAACCTTTCATTTTCTTAAAAAATAATTATAACACTCCACAACATTAAAGAAAAAGAAATTAATTAACTAAAACTATATAATATAAATGTTTTTTTTTAAAAGCATCTTCCACACTAGTTAGCATGGATATGGTAATATATAAGTAGTAATCTGTACTAAATGTATAGAGTTAACTATTAACTAATGCTGTATAATTTGATTAAATTTTTCTCCTCTAAAGTGTAATATATATTTCAAATGTTAAAATACAGTTATAACTGCTGCTTAAAAAGTTAATTTAAGTAGACGTAAATATTTGAATTGTTAAAATTTAAAGTATTAATTTTCTGACCAATAGTTTGTGACTACACTTTGCTCTAAAATGAACTTATATCACTTCTAAGGAGACATGCAAATTTAATTTCATTAACCAAATGTACTTTTTTAATGGATAATACTAAATAACAAAATAGTTAGCCCTTTGGTAGCAGATTTTTTTTTTTGTAGAAATAATCATATTTTAAAACTCTCAAAGCTAGCAAGAAAGTATTTTTCAAACTACGTTTAATGAAACACTTAATATGTTTGATGAGTTTAGTAAATAAGTGATTTTTATTATTTTTGTTCTCATCGAATCACGTCTACGTATACTTGAATTTGGTTGAATTTTCAATTAAATTTTTTACTAATTCTAGCTATGTAATTTTTTTATTAGATCGAATTGCTGGAATACTTAGAACATACATACCATCTAAATCGGTTTGGCATAGCTTTTATAGCTAGGCTTCCATTAGATTGACTAGAAAGAAAATGCCACACACCAAACACCACTACAAAACAAAAGTAAATCTTAAAACAAGCAATTACAAGGTCTAAATTTAACAAAATTGATAAACTCACTAACTTAAAAACTAGATAGGGTCGCTAGACACGGCAAACCCATGGTCCACTTATCTCATTATTGATTTAAAATGAGTAATTAAATAATCAAATGGAAGTTTCAGCATAGTATTAATAAGACTGTGCAAGGAGAGGACACACACACAAAAATAAAATTAAGTATATGTAAGCAAGTGCTGGACAAAATGACGTCAGCGTCAGCATTAACCCATTAATTATTTAATTTATAGGTGACAAGTTGCTGGTTAAAAACTGCTGTTCTGCCAACAGAGTCCCTAGAAGGTTGTATTCAGTAGTTGTAAAGGGCACCCTCAGGTATAATAATATGGTAATAGCAAGCTTTCTATACAAGCTTTCGGCTTTTGGTCACTACTCTTTCATATAATAAACCAAATTTTGTACTAGATTTGCAGGTCATTTATTTGTTAAATTAATGGGTCTACTCTGAATAAGACAATAAACCCTTGAAAAGTACAACAGTTAGTTGTCCCCGGCTTATCTAGGCTTTATGTGTGTATAAAACAAAGTAACTTATCCTTTGTGTATATATACCCACATATAATACAAATCCCAAAATAGCCTTTTCAATCCACATATAATATATATATTTTCAGTACTTTTTTATTATATACCAAAAGAGTGCATTGCTCTCAAAGAAACCTGAATCAGTTACTATTACTTTAGCAAGGGATAATATATAAAAGTGTATTCTTTCTCAATAATCAAGTCATTTAGCTGGAACTTCTTTAAGAGACAATTAATGGGTGGTCTTCTAACTAGAACTGCCAAGTTAGTTTCATTTTGTTATGTGTAGACTGCAAACCCGTGAGAAGAAACTGAATAACATCTATAATTATTGATTTATTATGTTAACACACAGTACTAATACTACTAATTACTCTGCTAACAATAATAATATGCTATAGTTTTACAACATTGATGTATGTAGCTATCTATACATTCGACACGCTATGTATCCTATGGTCATAAAATAGTTTTGTTGCACTATGATGAGAATGCTAAATCAAAATCACAAACACTAAACAATAATCGGATAACTATGGTGGAGCTCTTGCGGTATGCATATGAAAACAAACACTAAAGGCACAGGACACAAATGATTAAAACATTGATATGGACAGCTTGGGAGTCTGACATAGCTTCCACATGTCCAAAAAGCAATGGTGCCAAATGTGGAGGGACGGCGCACCAAACAGACAATTGTGAAACCTCAATTGTGAGGAGGAGGAAGAGGAGAATGTGACATGCATATGTATACATTATTTGTGTTAGTGTGAGACCCTTTGATCTAGGCGATTTATTAGCCATGTATATAATGCAATTTTATAAAAACTATATATAATTATTATTATTTGGTTAAAATTAACCGAGCATTGCCACAGTAGCTAGCATTGTTGTTTAAAGTGGTGGAAAAGGCTTAGGGTACAATATAGCGGTGGAAGAGGGGGTGGCGTGAAAACTCGGTGTCACGCCGTCCAAACAAAGACCTTTCCATCTATCTGCCACCCCACGCGCAATCAATAACCTCATCTACAATATATTTCTATATATATATATTATTCTTCTGCTTCTTTTCTGTACAACATTCTCTGATCTCTCTTTATACATGCTCTTGCAAATACATATATATATATAACTCTCCTAGCTCTCTTTAAACAAACATTCACCTTCACCTTAATTACTCCAACGCATCTCTCTCTCTCTCCCCCCCTCTCTATCTCCTTAATCTTCTTCAGTGCCTGTAGCTAGCAAACTCAACAAGAAGATGACACTAACCCAAATTCCTGTGAGTATTCATATATATTTATATTGTCCATAATGTATAAGAATTATTTCTTTTTCTTTTCTCAATTGCTTGTCAAGGTTGGTCTCAAACCACCATGAAACCATTTTGATAATAATCTTTTGGAGGGTTTTTCTCAAGGGAACTACAGCTTTTGGCGTGTCTTCATCCATTTGATCTATCTATATAATTAGCCTGAAAATTTTAAAAAAACTTATATCTTGCTTTTCTTTCTCATTTGTCAGCTTTCTGAACAAAATCCAAGTCTGATATCTTTTGTTTTTTTGTCAACTGAGAATATGTATATCATGATCTTAACAGTAGAAAAAGAGTGATATATATATATATATATATATATATATATATATATATATAACTTTCAAACCATCAATGAAATAGTTTCTCCCATTACCACGAGACATAAAGAAATTTTCAAAGCTATTAGTATTAGTTAGGTTTGGTTGTCTAGGCTTGGGAACCCAGGGTAGTGATTGTGTCCTTGGAAAAATCTGAAAAATAGCTTATGCTGATGAGTGGAACTTTATCTATATCATGCTATATGCTGTTCCTGGTGGTCGTGAATCGTGATCACGACATTTTCATCAGGGCAGGTCTTTCTCCACCACCAGAAGGCGTTGGGAGTGCACTGCACTCAAAGAAATGTGACATGCTTGTGACAGCAAAGTCAAGCTTTTCGGCCAACTTTTGTGTTCAATATACTTTTTCTCATCTTCATGTCATGCAAAAAAAGAGCTTCTTAGGATTAATCATAGGCCTATCTTGTTAGTTAATTTGTTTTATTAATGGTGGGTACCACACATGGTCTGCCAATTTTGTCATTGCACATGCTGCACAATTGTTGGGTCCAATAACAAAGTTATACATCATCATCATCATCATTACAACTAAATATCTAAGCCCTAGATAGCTAGACATTTTTTAAGATATTAGGTTGTAAACTATAATGACAATTTGATAAAGATCAACGCATAGCAAATTGCCATTGGAATTTTCTTTTTCTTATCATCCAATGCTGCCTTCAATGTTAGGCCTTTGCAAAAAGAATTTGAGCATGTTATATATTTGTTTGATAATTTTCTTTTTTATTCTTTTTTCCATTGATCCACGTAAAGGAGAAACAAGATAAACATTTATGTGAATTGAAATTAAAACCTACACATAAAATGGTCAAATTAATCCATGATGACACTCCTTTTCCTCTGCTTTTCTTTCAGGAGAGATCATCAATAGATATGGAATCATGTGTACCTCCAGGATTTAGATTTCATCCAACTGAAGAGGAGCTTGTGGGGTATTACCTCAAGAGGAAGATAAACTGTCTAAAAATCGATCTAGATGTTATTGTTGAGATTGATCTCTACAAAATTGAACCATGGGACATACAAGGTACATTATACTTATCACAGTGCAATCTTGAAATTAATTATAGTACCCTCATAAAGGGTCATAATCTTTTAAATAAAAAGTTTGATAAACTTCATCGGTCAATTACACCCCATATCATGACCCTATGGAGCAAGATATGTGACATTATATAGTTACAATTTTTTGGGGTTGAAATGTATATGCAGATAGGTGCAAGCTAGGATATGAGCAACAGAATGAGTGGTACTTTTTCAGCCATAAAGATAAAAAGTATCCAACAGGCACAAGAACTAACAGGGCCACTGCTGCTGGGTTCTGGAAAGCAACAGGAAGGGACAAGGCTGTGATGTCCAAAAACAGAATAATAGGAATGAGGAAGACCCTCGTGTTCTACAAAGGACGTGCTCCAAATGGAAGGAAAACAGATTGGATTATGCATGAATATAGGCATCAAACCTCTGAACATGGCCCTCCACAGGCATGTTTGTTCTGTCTTGACTCTTGAATCTTTTGACCATTCTCAATTCATCTATGCTACTAGAAATGCAAGTTATAATTCAACGGTAGTTTCCAACAATCTATTTACTATAATATTATGATAAAAGCTCGTATGCATTACGTAAGTGCAAGAAGAAAGCAAATCATTTTTATTATTATATAGGTCGTCAAAACTGTTTTTATCCACTTCAAACAGTACTTTTTCTCTTCCATATTCTTCATTTTCAAACATAAACACTCTTTTTTCCTATTAGAGGAATACAACTAGCATCACACCTTGTAGCACATTGTCTTCAACAGACTCTTTGTTATTTTATGAAATCCCTGTAAGTCTAACAAAATAATATGGTTTCCACTTCTTGTATCATAAAAATAACATAAAATTCATCTAACAATGTTATGTATTAAGAAAAATATTAAAAGAGTGTGTTACTAATTTTTTTCATTATATAATATTTTCATTTCTCTTTTCTCTTTTTTTATGCACTTTTTTTTTATTCTTTCGGGTAATAATTTAAACCAAATGATTATTAGATTATCTATACAAATTACTTTATTTTTGGAGAAATGTTATATTAATGCTTCAATTTTTTATTTTTTTTGTTATATTTTATTATTTTGATTTAAAACTATCTTGAAAATGCTTTATTATATCCCTTGGAAAAAAAACTCTTAAATTTGGAGAACATGGTAGCTAAGTTCAACAGGAGTTAGTTTGTGGTTTACCCTTTATGCTTATGATACAAAATAATTAAACAAAAAGATAGTGTCAGTAATTTTTGCGAAGCACCTTCTATTTTACCGTTTACAAATTGAAGCTTGATATTTTCACTCATTTATTTAACACTATTATAAAACATATTTTATTTGTCTCTCTCTAACGTGGAATTTTATATTGAAAGTGTGAAAAAGTCGTGAATTAAATATTTTTTTACTTAGAAGTTTTGTTTATATTTAAAAATTATATATTATCCATCTTTTTCTTTACTTGCTTATATATTTTTTACACCAACACGTGTCACCCATAATAATATGTACTTGTCAATAACAAGTCAATATTTGATAAGGGAAAAAGATTTTTTTCAGACCTTAAACTTTTATATATTACTTTTACATTCATGTTTTGTTACAAATTCATGACTATATTTAGGGATAACGTGTAAAATTTTCGGGTGTGAAAAAATAAGGATTGATTTGGTGAAGTCTATACCATCTTTAGAAATCGTTACACAAGACCAATTTCAAACATGCAATGAAAAGATATCCACTTTCTTCCAAAAGGTACTTTAATTTTGCCTTTCATAAAGCTCTGGAGGCAAATGAAAATTACGACACGCTTGTGTCCTTTATATTTTGTTCATATAATAATAATATAGAGGAACGTAGCTCAAGAATCAAGATCATGAGATCAAAAGGCTGAACTTGGTATAGTCACTATTGCAGGAAGAAGGATGGGTTGTGTGCCGAGCATTTCGAAAGCCAAGTCCAAGTCACAGGCAAGGTTTTGAACCATGGTGTAGTAGCAGTCAACCACACTATTTCAGAGATCAAAGCTACACAAGGCCCTTATCAATTGCAGACATTTTAAATGACACAAATGTGCTTCATTCTGCTGAAGATACAAGTTTTAGTCACTCCTTCAGTTCGGATCAGCAACAGTTAATTCTATCAAACCAAGCTGTTTTGGACAAACAACTCATTGAGCTTCCACAGCTAGATAGTCCCACTGCAAGTTTGGCAATTAAAGAATGTAACCAACAACACCATAATAATGGCCTAACAAATGAAGAGTATTGCAGTGATGAAAGGAGCAATAACTGTGCACAACAAGGTATTGATTGGAAGAGCTTGGACAACTTGTTTGGGTCACAATTGACCGATACATCTTTTTTTTCACATCCAAACTTGCCCATGATGATACCTCATAACCATGAGCTACAAGCTCAGAATCAAGCTAGTCACATCCTAGGATGCTTTCCTGATTCATAACTTGTGTGTCATCATCCATATATAGCCAATTAATAAATAAAGTCTTAAGTAAGATGATGGATATTCATCATATCATAGTTTTCCATTTATCTTACCACAAGCTAATTTAGAAGTTGTTGGGAGATTGAACCAAAAAGGTTAAAGATCGATGGTTTAGGAGATGATATTATATATTTTTTTCGTGATAAAAGAGATTCCCTTGAAGAGTGAATCTCTACTTTGTTTAGAGTTCAAAAGATAAAGCTCTTCTTTTCTTTTCTGTTTTTGGGTACTAAGTTTAACTTTTTACTGTCCTTGGCTATGTCACTTATAAATGTACATTCTCTTTATTGCATGCTTAGTGTGGCTTTTCTTTGATTTAATCTATTATACATGTCTGTATTTTGTAAGGGCGTCGTGTGTTTTTCATCAATATATGTCTACATGTATGACATCGACGAGGGAATTTCGAGTTCATCAAAATCTTCATTCTTTTCTCTTCTCATCAATTTATTAGTAGAAAAAGCGACAAATTAGCCAAGGTACCATTATATTATATAGAATTTAAAGGGAGAACTGTTAATTTGTGATTATTTTACAAGTGAACAACAAAGAACATACTGATAATATCTATATGACCATGTTAGAGGGATGAAATTACATGTTCCTATTTTTATTTTTTTTAACTCTTTCTTTGCGACTTTGATTAAAAAAATAATGATCCTTTTATTAATGGTTAACTTTATTTGTTTATCTTTTATTTTTTAAAATAGAAAGGTATAAAATATATATAATATTATTTAAGTTCACAAAAAAAAATTATATATTATAACACCACTTTTTAAGGGTTATTAACTAACCCTGTACTTGATTTTTTAACGTCTTTAATGAGGCAATTAATAAAACATTTTTATTTTATTTTTATTCAATATTTTTCATATTTCATTTTTTTTTCTTGACCTTTCTTTCCTTTATATCTATTGGTACCTATCGTTAAATAATTAATTCTTTAATCTTGAGGTTAAGGACAACTTCCATCAATTATCTTGACTTGAGCTGTGTGACTGCGAATGTTAAATTGGTATTGACTTGAGAGCATGCAGTCGACAAGACATCAACCACAAAGGTTTCCAAATGTCTTTCATTAGTGTGACTTGCGAAATGTGAATCGTTAAATACAAAAGTAAAAGTGGAATCCAATTATTAGTGTTTCGAAAGAATCTGCACGTAAAACATGATTAATTGCATAAAAAATATCATTAATAATACTATTATTAGTTTACAGAATTCTGAGAAAGCTAGGAAGAAAAAAAAAAGGGAGGCAAAGGCAAAAGTGCTTAACAACATATATTGGGGGATTTGAACAGATCTTTGATATCATTTTCACACCTTCATTTATGGCATATACTTTAAATTTAAACATCAGGACCAATAGAAACTTCCTTCTCCTGACCGAAATTTTTTTTTATTAACACATTTTTTAATATACTTTTAGTTATAAATTGAATCTATTAAAATGACATAATTATAGAAGAGACAAGTTAAATTAAGAAAAAAAAAAGGAAAGTTTACATCATTTATATATTTTTTAATAAATTGTAATTAATTTTAAAAAATATATTACTAGCTCTTGATACTATCTTTTAAACATCAACGATAATAATGGTTTTCTACTATATTCGTACGTGCATGGCACAATATGCTGTAATAAACAATTGAACTTTGACATATGTGAACTAGTGGCGTAGGCTAAATTATAAAAGAAAAGTTGATATTATTTTTACATTATTTTCCAACATATTAGGGGGTCTCTACCATTTCTTTTAAATAATGTGTCAAAATGTTGTAGTGTTGTGTAAAGTTTCTTTCAGCACTATAACCTTCTGCATCTGCTTTCCTCTTTTTTTGGGTGCAAAGAAAAACTTTTACTTCAATAAAATATAACAAAGCAAATCACCCTACATTTGCAGAGGTCACACATATACACACGCACAGATCTTATAACATATATATGATTTAGATCTAATATCTATGTCTCAAGTCTTACGGTTTTTATAGATTAAGAATATACATAATAATTTTCCTCTGTCGGTAAATTTATCAATTTCTTTATCAAGTGAATATATATTACAAGTTCTAATAAAATAAGATGTTGAATGTAACATTTAAGTCATAAACTTCTTTTACCTAATATTATAACCCCTTTTTTTCTGGAATTAACCAACCCAAATTTTGTCATTGCATTTTTTGTCCTTTTTTTTTTCCAGTGTGATCAACCAAAAATTGTCTACTCAAATTAGACCCAAAGCAAATTGTTAACTGGGCTTGATGGGCCTCCCCGTTTACTAAGCCTAGATTCGAACTTTAACAATCATTATTACCAAACTCCCAAAGTTTATATCATTAGACCAAAATAAAATTACCAGACACCCCTTTCCCCCAAAGTAAATAACTAAATAAATACATAAACAAAACCAAAAAATTTCACCCAAAAAAAAAAAAAACCAATAATTATTATTTAGAAAAAAAAAAAAAAAAGCGGTGACATTTCTGAACTTTGCAGGTGCACCGATAACGCTCGGATCCGTGAGGAAAGCAAGTTTTCAGCTGCTTGTCTATAGTTTCTTTTTTTTATTTCTTTTTGGTACTATTTTTTAGCTTGTTAAAAATGCTAGGAATAAAATGCATACATCCTTAAATATTTAACAAAAAATAGTATTTTAAAAAACTTAAATATTTAGGGCTTGTTTATTTCTATTCTTGAATAGAGTTTTTTGTTTTAAAAAAAACAGAAAAACTTGTTTGTTAATATAAATTTTAAATATTATTTTTAAAAATAATTTTTTATTTTCAGTTTTTAAAACTAAAAAATAGAATTATTATTTAGGTATTTTTATTTAATTTTTCTGTTTCTCCTTCTATAACTAACAAAAAAATTAACTAAAAACTGTTTTAAAAACTAATTTATCAAACGATTTTTATTTTTACTTTTTCTAAAAATTGTTTTAAAATTTAATTTTTAAAATTTGAAAATATACAAATAAAATTAATTTTTATTATTTTAAATTTTTCATAAATAAAGATATTATGAAATTTAATAATTTTATAAATTATTCATGTTAACTTTTATTTTGACGGCTATACGGCATAATAATAGAGATAGAAGAATAAAAAATAGTTACATAAAAATTTATATTTGACTAATATTTAACAAATAATTTATTGTACTAACTTTCAAAGCATCTGATATGTTTGAAACTATAAAGATATAACTAAAAATAAAACTTAATTAAAAATCGAATAAAATCGTAAATATTTTAGATTAATTTAATCATAAATCAATTGAAAATTTTTAATTTGATCCCTTACAAATATATGGATTACCAATAAGTTTTTTAAAATTTTAAACACCAAATTATTTTTAAAAAAATACTTTATCATCATACTAGTCTTCTAAATAGTTTAAATAAAATTATTTAAAAAAGTAATCTATCGTTAAATTAATATATAAAAAATTTAAATATCATGATAATAGTTCTTATAACGAATTGTACTAACGAGGGGGGGGGGGGGAAATCATAAATAAGAGTTTACTTTTTTTTAATAATATATAAAATTTCAGTGTATTAATTGTTATATATAACTAAATTATGATAAAAAAAATTATTCGATGAATTAGTTTGGTGATAATTTATATTTTTAAAGGGATTATCAAGAAATAATTTTATTAAAAAATTGAAAATAATAAATTAAATTTATGGCCAAAGTTTTTTAAAATTTAATCTAATAATATATATATTGCAAATGGGGACATGCCTTTATATGACATCAAAGTCCACGTGTATGTCATTTATAACAGTACATAATTGTTTGACTTAAGGGTTAAGATAAAGCCAAGTAATATATATAGAAAAAATGTGTTTCAAATCTTTTTGGCTAAGTTTAATGTAAATGTTAAGTCTTGCAGTCCTCACAATTTAAAAATTAAGTACTTCCTAAAGTTTAAATTTAAGAAATAAAAAAGCCTAAAAACGTAACATTAAAAATTGAATTCAAAATTAACATAAAATCAGTCAATAACTTTAATACTAGAAAATATCAAAATTTGTGGACAAAAGTGCAAATTCACTTCTCACCTAATTGGGGTGTTGGTGTTAAGACATTTTCTGTTTTTCACACAAAAGTTATTTTAACTTAGAATATTCTTTTATAACTATTAAAATAAACTTTGCTTCTTTCAATAATTTTACAATTTAAATGAACTGAATTTAAAGCTTAATTAATATGTCTGTGGGATTCAAATATCTATTAATGAATAAATAATATTGATTTATAATAATTTTTTATTTTTGTTCGGATTTTTTATTGACATTTTCTCACGTTATTTTGTTTCTTTCAAATTAGGTGTGAACCATATTTTCAGTAAGATTGTCCGAATAAACTGATTGATTCCAGAATCTGTGAAAAGGCATAGTTTTGATATTTTTCTTTTTAAAATCTTGTAAAAGAATGGAAAGAGAAAGGTAAAATAAGCTAACTTTTTATAAATAAAATTAAGTTACATATTTTAAATTTTAAAGAAGTTAAAAAAATTACTTAAAATAAATTAAGATAAATAAATTAATATTAATTTTTGAAAATTATATGTTATATATTTTTAATAAATAATTATTATATAATTTAATTTATTAAATTAATGTATTTTATCAAACACGTAAATCAATTAATAGATAACTATTTTCATTTAACTGTAATTTTTAATTTAAGTTTTATGAATGTTGTTGTATTAGTTAAGCAAGAAAACAAATTAAATTAAACTATTATTTAATAATACACAGTACTTTTTGATATTCTATTATTTTTAACCAAATTTTATTATATATAAATACTTATTTTATACTTATTAACATACATTATAACTTTAATAATTTTTATAAGAATTAAAATCCGTTTATTAAGAAAAATATTTAAACTTATATATTAATTTTAATTTCTTAACTAAAACCAAATATTTTGCTTCAAAATGTTGAAAAATTGAAAAATAGTCCTAAATGAATTCATGTTTCTAAAAGTGAAAATACTTTTAAAAAATATATACTTTTAATTATTATTATTTTTTATTATACGAAAAAAATTACTTTAATTAACCACATTCTTCTTCCCATCTGTTCTTCGATGTTGAAAAGCCCCTCCCCCTCTCTCTTTCTCCAACAACGCACACTGCAGGTAAAATTCGCAGAAGGATCCACCGTTCCTCTCTTTCTATCTCTTCCGCCCCCAAAATCTTAGGGTTTCCACAAATCAACAACAAAGGCAAAGGCACATCCAAACTGAAGAGTTTCAAAGTTGGATTCCACAGCCACCCACACTGATCCCGGAAGCCCCATGAGATATCGGTGATTGGATCGGACAATGGCGGCGCCGAGGAATGTGACGGCGACGAGGGACGAAGAGAAAGGGGAGGACGACGACTCACCCTCCGCCAAGAAACCCAAATCGGAGAAATTTCCACTCAACAGTTGGGAATTCTTCGCCGCCGTCACCGTCTTCTTCGTCTTCTCCACTGGTCTCTTCTGCATTTACCTCACCATGCCCCCTGCTGCTTACACCAACCTCAAGCTTCCCCGCACCCTCTCTGATCTTCGCCTTCTCAAGTAACCTAATAATTTTTTAAATTTTATTATTATTTCTCACTTTCATGATTAAAAATGTGATTTTTTTTTATGAAATGTATTTTGGGTTGTTTTTATTTTATGTATGTGTTTGTTTACAGGGAACATCTTTCGACGTATGCGAAAAAGCACCCTGCACAGTTTATTCTTGGATACTGCTCTACCTACATCTTCATGCAGACTTTCATGATTCCGGGGACAATCTTCATGTCCCTCTTAGCTGGGGCACTTTTCGGAGTTGTACGAGGAATCATGTTGGTTGTTTTCAATGCCACTGCTGGAGCATCTTCCTGTTTCTTTTTGTCTAAGTTAATTGGAAGGCCTTTGGTTTCTTGGCTGTGGCCTGAAAAGCTTAGGTTTTTCCAAGCTGAGGTTTGTCTTTTTTAAAATGTCATTTATCTATGTACAAATGTTGCGGTATATAAGTTTTGATCTAAAATTTTGGTTTTCTGGGGTGGTTGAATCAGATTGCAAAGCGTAGGGATAAGCTGCTGAATTACATGCTTTTTCTAAGGATAACTCCGACATTGCCAAATCTGTTCATCAATTTGGCATCTCCGATTGTTGATGTTCCGTTTCATATATTCTTTTTCGCAACCTTGATTGGTCTTATTCCGGCCTCTTATATTACCGTCAGAGTAAGCTTGTGTCCTTCTCTTGCTGTTATTTTACAATATGCTCTCTCTTTTCTTTTTTCTTTACCTGATATGTTTCGAGTCCTAATTGTGTACTCAAACTATTTTTTGCTTGACCACGTTCTAGTTACTCTCTTATAGTTGCCTGTGGGCTTCTGCAATTGGAACTTTTAAATTTTTGAAATTCCAAATCTCATCTTATTCTTACTCAAGGGAGAAATGAAGAAGAATAGAGGGACTAAGGGTCTTCTCAAATGATTATTAGAACATTTATTGGATGGATGGATATGATCATCGACTTAAGGAATTGAGCATCCTCAGTTATAAGTTTTATGAATGACAATTGGCCGTGTTTGTTTTTAATGCTCAGAAACACTGTGAATTAGATCTGTTTATATTGGACTGTGATTTTTTCCCTAAAGGAGACAGTTCAATAGTTGTGTTGAAGTAACTTTTGTTTGAGTGTGCAATTATTTGAGAAGATGCTGATAATGCATTATATTTATTTATTTGAACAAGTAGGAGTAAAACAAAATTAGGCAAGAACTGTCAACATCATAGAATCTGATCTTGAGGAGAATATGTGGTTGTCTTTGGCTTCAAGGCCCTGAGTAAACAATTTTCAGGGATTTAGTGCAGTGTTTATGTTGAAGGATATTGAGTATTTTAAAGGTTGTGCTGGTATAGTTTCCATTGAAAAGGCATTATTAGGTTGTATGAATATGCTAGAGAAGACACTGTTCTTGTGATCACGAAGAGTAGTACTGAGCTGGTTGGGGATTCCTCCCATGTATAATGTAGAATTTCCTTCGAATGCTCTACTATCAGTGAACTGCATCCGAACCCTTTTCTCAAGGACTGCTTAGAATGTGTTTTGTGCTGCCCCTCTGCCCCTTCTTGCATGTCATATATTGATCTTAATCATCATGACATTTGTGTATTTTATCGTTCCAATTTCATGGATGAAAAGGCTAAGTATTTTTCTGGTATGTCCATAATTCCATTGTAGCTGTTTTTCTGCTTTTCTTTTATTATTTTCCTAACATTTTCATTACTATTTAACTAGGCTGGCCTTGCTCTTGGGGATCTGAAGTCAGTTAAGGATCTATATGATTTTAAGACATTATCAGTACTTTTCCTCATTGGTTTTGTTTCCATATGTCCAACACTTCTGAAGAGGAAGCGAGTATATGAATGAAGTTGTGCTGGATCTACTCGCTTAATCCTTTTTGTCAAAGCTAAGTTACGTAATCTTATTAGATGGTGAAGGCAGTGAATCAGAGTAGGTAAAAATTTGAGAAAAATTTCAATGAGAAAGGATGTTTGGTTATCAATTAAAACTCTGGTATATGCTCCATTTTATTTTCTTCTGGAGCCCAAGTTTTCCATTTTCTTTTTGATTGTGTGGAGAGTAAGGGTGACTTAGCTTTGTGGGGGATCAACCAATCCAACTACGGCTAAACGGGGCTTTTGTTGGTGCACTTAAATTACTCACAATGTTGCTTTGATGGCATCAGGAAGGATGTGGTGATTGTTTAACTATGCTGTATGCATACGTGTCTTACACCATATAGCAACTGACTTTTACTCTGTATTATTTATTCAGTATAAGAATAGTAGAGAATTTCAATCATTACTCTTCCTTTCATTTGTTTAACTCTGATATTGTCTGTCTTGATGCTCTGACATTTACCGATTAATATTCTAGAGGGATTACAAGGGAAAGAGGAGGAGGTGGATGCACATAAATGTTGGGAAATTACTTTGCATAAAATTCCAATACTCAAACAAGAATACATGCATACTGTGTATGCACTTGGATGAAATATTAACAACAAATGTTTCAATTTGCCCATGAGTTATTTAGTTTCAGACCATTGATTTCATTATGACTAGACCAGTCTTTTTATTTTTTTGTCAAAATAAATACTTAAGTTGAATTAATCAAAATTATTCAATGTAAATCACACTAAAATTAACTAAATGTGATATTAACAACTCGTTTACTGGTAAAGTTCAAAGTATTTTATATCATTGCTGACCCAATTGTGTCATAGACTGTCGTTACGTAAAACAACCTCGTTTCAAAAATGTAGGTACAACTCGGATTGATGATAAAAAGAAATTATATATGTTTGATAATTTTGAGGTGAACAGATGTTGGTAAAAAAACATTTGCTTAAGCCCGAAAAAATGAATAAAACAAGATGCAATCGTATTTATTAAGTCACAAGGTTCTTAACCTTATCTATCTTTCGTTTTAGTTAGAATAAAAAGTTTTTATTTTGTAAATAATTATTAAACTCGAGACTCTTTCTACCCGTTGACATCCATTATCCCCTCATCTTAAAATTGTTATTGTAAATAAATAATTTATGTTGCTATAACTCATTATTATTATTATTATACCTGCATTTCTAGGGGCATCTTTGTATAGTAGAAAATACTTGCTTACATCTACAATGAACTTGCTACTTATAAATGGAAATTTGGTTTGGAAAATGTGTAATAAATTCTTTTTAATAGACTATTTATTATCAAATATATATTATACAATATTCACTAAATCACACAAGTCTCACTCCGTTTAAAAGATTCGCAGTAAAATTTATCCAATAACAAAAAGATGTGTTGAAAGATTATCCTAAGTTATCGTTTGTATTTCAAAATCATATGGCTGCTCTTCTCTTTTCGCATGATTCAGGTGCAACATTGGGTGGAGCATCAGTCACTAGCAATAAGGTGACAAGAGAAAGTAGCGCAAGTGCCAAGGCCTACATCAACAAATTTAAATCCATTGTTTCAAGAGAAAACAAATGAGAGCAGAGGAAGTTTTTAATTTGAAATGAGAGAACTTTAGGACAACAATTTTTCAAATTTTGTATATTTAGTTTTTTTTCCTTCCTTATCTTCTCTTTATTTTTTCTTTAAATAAAGAATATAACCTTTCCAAAGTTAGAGATTGTATTTTCTCCCTCTTTATTTAAAAGTGCACAAATAAAAAGGTATTTTTCTTTATTTTTAGTTAGTTAAGATCACGATAATTTTAAATTAAATCAAGAAAAATGCATGATTAGAGACACTAGCTTTAGAAGAGTTTTTGCTCGTCATATATATAAAGGAACTAATTAAGATGAGTAATATTCTTAAGACTTGGAAAAGTAAAGTTGTTCCAGCAAATCTTCTATGCAACAATTCTAAGCAAACAAACTCATTATAGTAGGGGGTTAAAATTGGCAAGAAAAATAGCAATGTATCAGGAAACAGGAGATTACAATATGCCATACATTAGCTAGATATAAACTTAAAAGACTCCGTTTCAAATTAAAGCAAAACTAATCATGGCAAAATGATTGCTTATGATTAAAGATGAAGGAAGATACAGTATAGGCACAGTGCTGAAGATCTTCATGATTCCAAATCTTCCATAGTAACCTTTGGGTAGTTTTCATAGCCCATAATGCTATTTATTCGTATACGTGTATTTGGCTGTTACAAGTTGAAAGCCAACACAAACAATGTCAAGCATTTGGAACGCAGGGACAAATCATTTTTTTTTTTTAAATAAGTTAAAAAGTAATTTGAATTTTCATATCAAATTCAGATAAATCATTGATTTAATTTGCTAACATTAATAGCATGCTAATATCTTGCTCTACACAGTATAATAGGTGAACCATGCTAGATGTGATTATAGCCACCTTAGAAAGCACGGTGAATTGATTATGACTGCCATGGAATGAGATTTTCAACTTTATGATTTGGAATGCAAGAAACACAGATGATGATAACCAAATTTTACTATTTTGCTTCTACATTTCTTGAAAGCTCAAGCAAAGACTATGAATTACAGCAAAATGGAATTTATAATAGAGATTGGCCTTTCCTAATTCTTTCACAGTGAAGCAAAAATCAGTTAACAAATATATGAGAAGGTAATATGTTAACAAGAGACAGAACCTTGATGGAAACAATGAGCATAAAGACGATAAAACAATGCAGGGATTCATTATTTTCAACACCGGTTGAGTTTAACTCACCAAAAATAACTAGAAAAAAGTAATAAAATTAAAAACCAAGGATGGTAAATGCATGTAAACAATTTTCATGCATGTATTACTGCTTTTTGTAATGAGTTATGAATTTTTTGAACACATTTACCCAGTCACACAAACACACACAAAATGGATTCGCCTATTTTCAAGCTCACTTCAGAAATTAAAAGGTGTGAATTCCCCTCTATGAACAAGTAATTCCCAACCACCCCCAAGCCACACAAACCGACATTTTAATTGCAAACAAAATAAACAATAAATAATTTGATCGCATAATTGACAGCAGAATAACTGCAGTACCTGTCTGTGCCCAATAGTTCTGCGATAGTGTTTCTTCTTTTTATATTTGAAGACAATTACTTTGGGGTCCAAACCCTGCATTGAAAAATGGTTTAAGGAAGAAGGTTTTTAAGAAGCATTTTTTTTTTTAACTTCCTATCAGGAGAAGAGAAACAAAAAGAAAGAGGTGTACCTGCTCTTCCACTGTTGCATATACAACAGCATTTGTTACTATTGGTTGCCCAATGTAGCAAGATGTATCGGTGCCAACCAGTAAAACCTTATGTAAGGCAATCTGCAGTTCCAAGGAGCTAAACTTAAACTAATAATAAAAATAAACTTTGAAAATTATAGCAGTTATTCATATAATATTATCACTTTAGCTGGCAAGACCCCTAACCACTTATACCCCAGCTTAGGCCAAATTACTCCAAAAATACTTTTGCGTTGGACCCCTTAAAATTACAGGTCCTAAGCCATGATTGATGATTCAAATCATTAATAGGTGTCAATTATCCATTGACAAATAAAATAGCAAAAATCAGGTAAATTTTCATGATAATCAATCATATGAAAAAGGGGAGAGAGCATTCATATTTCTGTAAGCTAGTCAATAAACTTCACTCTCCACCACAAAAATATTCTGCATCTTGTCCTCTAGGAAAGCCAAGAGTTTGATATAATGAATGAAGAGATAAATTGTCAGTTTGTTATATTATTATTATACAACCAATTACACCATAATTTTTATTAAAAAAAACTGTATTTTACCCCAAGAAAATCTCATGATGTAATTCATGCATTTGCGCATACATCAACACTACTTTTATTTTGTTAATTATTATCCAGCTTCCTATCACATTCAAACCGCAACAATTATAGCAGTAATAATTAGTGAGAAAGTGGTGGTATTATGTTTGTCATAGTCATAATCAAATAAAGAAACAGATATTGAATGAGTGTTAAGAAATGATGCAAAACTGGGGCTAAAGGACTGAAAGGGTAGCCCTGTTGCTAGAGAGACAGAGACACCATAGGAAAAATCATTAAGTTCAAAAGGGTAGCCCTATTGCTAGTGTCAACGGATTCGGGATAAATCATTATGGCATCATTCGATCTATATAGCCAACTACACCCAGTGGAAAAAGACCTACTTGTTGTTGCTAGGTGCTCAAACGGCATAAGTTGAAACGACAGTAAACAAGAAGCAAACAAGATATGTACCTTATCATTAACCTTAGCACCTTTCAGTCTCTGAACAACAATCCAGCGCCCAGGGTGAACAATATATTGGCGTGAACCAATCTAAACAAGACAGCAAAAATATAAGTTCAAAAGCAAGTACAAAAGACAGTATCTGCTGAAACCCCAGAATAAAAAAATATACTTATTTTCCTATGTAACAAGCTGAAAGAGGAACAACATAGAAAACGGTTAATTAACCACAAATATATAAACTCATTTGGAAGCCACAAATCTGCAAGTAAAGATACAATCACTAAGAAAAAAAACTCATATTAATCACCCTTAGAATAAACCAAGGTTGCTACTACTTTACAATAGCACAAACAAAAAATTAAGACCAATGGGTCAACATAAACAACATTGGGAATCACCAAGAAAACTCAGCGTTAGAATCATCATCTGGACAAAGAATTTTGAATCAAAGCTTCAAACTTTTCAACATTGGGTCATCCAATCCCATACCCAACATCGGAAAAAGCAAGTGAGCACTCACCATTACAACGGCGAACAGACCGGGTTCCCACGAGGGAGACTGGCTCGGAGAAGCTTGCACAATTTGGGCCGGTTCGGGCTCACCCAAACCCAAACCCAAACCGGGTTCAGACTGGACCGGTTCGGTTTCGGCGAGTGTAGATTCAGTGGACTTGGGAAGGGGTAACAGAGGTAAGCGTGTTGAGAAATTGAGATTGTAAGAGTGAGAAGGAAAGCGAGTGAGATTGAAAGATTGAGAAAATAAAGGTTTGGGATTGTGGGAAATGGAGCAATGGGTTGCAAAATTAGCAGAGAGTGTTGAAACAGTTGTTGCAGTGGCAGAAGCCATTTTTGAGAGCCCTCTCTCTCTCTCTCTCTTCTTCTCCTCAGGTCTATCCTCTCTGTTCCTATCCGTTTTCTCTTACCACAAGGGCATTTTATTATTCACCCAAAAATAAATTTTAAAATTGGTTTCACACATTTTCTTCTTTTTTTTACCAATCCTATAACCTATTTCTGTCGTGGAAATACATTGTGACTTGAATTGCACAAAGTCTATGATGAGATTTAAATGATAATAATAATCTTTTATTTTTAATGAGCTGAAATTGTATTTTAATATAATAAAGCATGTTCTTTTTTTTTTTTTTTGGTAAGAACAAAACTACTACCAATCAATTAACGGGAGATTGAATAATTTATTCGAAATTTATGACAAAATTTTAGTGCAAACACTCTATTGAAATATATTAATAAGTGTCATATGCACAACACAAATATTTTTAAATCTAGGTAAAAATTTTAAATTGTATATTAAAAATATTTAAGAAAAATATTTGAAGTTGTCATAAAGATATATACAATCAATTTAAATAAACAATAAAAATTATAAATGGCTTCAATTTAAGAAAAAAATAATTAAAGAGGAAAAGTAACTGAAATTTGATCTAACAAGAATTAAAGTAATTATTTTAAAAAAGCTTACTTCTGAAAAAGTTACATAAAAGAAAAATTTTAAAGTAATTAATGATTACTTTTTTAAATATAAAAAAAATCGTAATAGTAATGAAGTTACATATCTTTAAAAAGATATACATAAAATGCCTCTTTCTTAAGAATTTTTTTTAAAATGCTCTATTTTATATGTAGAGGGGAATCATACAACATTTGCCTTAAATCCAAACCCACAATACTTGAAAATGAGCCTAGCCCTGGGAAAAAATAATTTTTGCAACCTCATTTTTTCTTTTCACATCCCCTTGAACTTCTTTTAATTTTTAAAAAATTAAACTTTAAAATTCATTCTAAATTACTTTCAAAATTTAATTTTCAGAAGTGAATTAAATAATTCTAAAAATTAAATTACAGAGAATAAGTTGGAAATGTAAAAAGAATCGTCCTTTCACTCCTTTGGTAGGTCCTCGGACTCTGTCTTTGAACTTTGGATTACAATTCATGTTTGACCCTAAAATAAAAATAGTTAAATTAGTTTGTAAATCTTTATAATTTCATTAAATTTTGAATTAAGTCGTTCTAATTTAAAATCCAATGGTATTTTGGCCTCATTTTGTTGGTTTGTTTCTATTCAAGCCAATTTATATTATATATATAGCTAAATATATTCAACTTCACTGGATGTTTCTAAGGAAGTGAAGAGAACAAACCATTGCTTAAGAAAGTAAACGAAATTCAGTATAAAACATATTATAACCATACGGCTATGTAAGATTTAACTATATTTTTCTTCTACCATATGCTCCTAACTGTACAAAAGATTTCATTTAGCATATCAAGAAGAGTCATTCACTCCAAATGCATCTGCAATATTGAAGTTCAAATTGCCTTTCATGTTTCTGTTCCCACCAACATCTCCATCGCCTTTTTTCATCATTGCTGCAAACTCTGCATAATCAATCCTCCCATCCTGAAAAAAGGATAGAAAATTAGGACCAAAAGCCTCGACAATATAAGAGAAAAAATGCCAGTGCCTAAGAGAGAAAGATATTCTAGATAATTTCAATCAAATCAGGCCAAATCACAATTCACAACCTAATACATGATGATTGACTTCTATTCCAGTAAAGGGTTAATTTTAAAAAACCATGATCATACATCTCAAATGATGATGATCCAGAGAACCCAGATACTATTTGCAATAATGGCTGTATTTTGCATTGGCCAAAAATTTCTTGTGCCTAACTTTCCAGAGCATCCTACATCTGCAATTATGATGGCTGACTACAGAGAGAATCAAGATAGCAAAACATATTATTAAACTTTCACTAATCTTACAGATCATAAGTTCAGGTGATGTCATCAACTTTATAGGGAAAACTTAAAATGGAATCAGCAATAAAGTTGTTAGTCAAACTACAGAGAGTACATTATTCGCATCAGCACATAATGGTGGTAATGCAAACATGTTTAGAGGAACTTACATTGTCTTGATCAATTTCTTTGATCATTTCATCCAGATGTACCTCACCAAGACCAAAGTCTTTACAAGCCTGTTGAAGCTCATCAATGGTGATGTAACCACTACCATCTTTATCAAAATAGGCAAAAGCTGCAACCAAATTCTCCTCTCTTTCCATCTTATTCAAGTGCAGTGTTGCAGCAAGAAATTCACCGTAGTCTATTGTTCCACTGTTGTCAATATCAGCCTGCCAAAATTCACAAGGGAATGCAATTAATGATCACCCAACTCAACATATATAAAAGAAGCAAAAGAATATGAGCTTATTTTAAATATCATAGAACACCTTAGTTTGTATTAGTTCTATGAAAATGATAATCTACCTACCGCATCCATAAGGGACTTAATTTCAGATTCCATGAGATTAGAGCCCACACTTTTCAAAGCCTCCTTCAGTTCCTCGTAAGTTATTGTTCCACTGTTGTCTGTGTCAATCATTTTGAATAGCTCTTTCAATCCACCTATTTCTTCCTCTGAAAGTCTTTCAGCTATGACCTGAAATCAAATTTTGAATGTATAAGGGTGTTATTTATATGAACACCAGACTATATAAAAAATTGATAGACCATACAGGTCATATAAAATTGATATGGATCGATGTGCTCATACAAAGAGAGTATATAATTGATTTAATCATCATTAACTGGAACAAAGAGAAATCTTACACAAGCACCTGCAGCTTTTAAGTCATAAATAAGTTATGTGCTTATCTCATTTAATGGGTTGATAACATAAAGCTTAGGCAAAATCACTATCGTTATTGAAATAAAAACTAGAAAGGGTAAGTAGTAGAATGATGACTAAACATACACGTAAAGCCATCTTCTTAAGTTTATTCATAGCTGAGAAATGTTTTAGGCGTGTCAAAACAGCAGGGTCCAGAGGTTTGTCAGGGGCAACTTTATCATCAACAATCCAAGGGTGACCTGGTCATACAAAACTCCACTTTGTTAGATCATCTACAAAACTGTGACACTATCAAGTGCTGGCATACACCAGTAGCACATGAAAATCTAATTATAACTAGTACTCAAGAAACTCACACAAGACTTCATGAGCAGAAATTCTTTTCTTAGGGTCCCTATCCAACATCTGTTGTACCAAATCTTTAGCACTTTCAGAGATATTTGGCCACGGATCAGAAGCAAAATCAAGCTGTCCATGTAAAATCTGTCTGAAAATTCCTGATTCGGTTTCTGAAGGTAATAGAAAAAGTGAATGCAGCTCGGACACAAAGAAAACATCAAGTAAAAGACTATATAATATACAGAGAAAAAGAGATTCACAGCTCCAAGTACAAAGAGAATTACACAATACATTAGGATCATTACCAGCCCAGAAAGGTGGGACCCCACTCAATAAGATGTAAAGAATAACACCAGCACTCCATACATCCACTTCTGGTCCATATTGTTTGCACAACACCTCAGGAGCAACATAGTAGGGACTTCCAACTACATCATGAAAGGCTTGTCCTAAGAAGAAACAAGAAAAGGTGATGATAAGTAATACACTCATACTAATTGCTACTGAGAAAAGGACAAAGGAAAAACTTGTGTTTAAAATTAAAATAAAAAATGCATCTGATGCAGAATATTGTTCTGCAAATATTCAACTCCTTAGTGCAAATGTCTTTCAAACAAGTCAGTCATAGTAAACAATTGAAGATTCTTCTTGCCAAGTTCCTCTATTCAAAAGGGAATCATGGAATCAACTCATGCTTTACATGTCTATTTTTCATTTTATTCGGTGGTAAAAACTAAAAACATCTAATTAATACCAAACTTGTTGAGCATATACTCCATCTGTTTTTTTTTTTTTGTTTCTTTTACGTTTAAAGTTTTGTGTAGGAATTAAGATAATGATTGATATTCTAAATTTCATAAAAAAAATTATTACTTATCTTTCTGTTATACCCTTCATCTATATTATTTATTATCTTCCACCAAACAAACATTAATTACTAAGGGTAAAATTGAAAAAAAGAAACATTAATTGTTCATTGATTTTATAAAATGAAAATGAAAAACGATTAAAACAAAATTGCTAAAGTGTGAAAAAGAAAAAATAAACAGAGGCAATTGTATATGAAATGGTAAAATCATCTCAGAACTTCATATGCATTATGAAATTCAATTAAACACCAATGATAAAAGAGATTAAAGAAAAGAAAATGAGACAAGAAGAATGATATACCACTCAGGCAAGCAGATTTTGACAGAAGAAACAAGCATCAACATATAAAAAGAATTTGCATCATTGAATTGAACAACAACAACAAAAACAGCAACCTGGCTTGTGGAAGACAGAGAGTCCAAAATCCGTTGCCTTCATTTTGGCATCTTCACCAGGGGTATCAAACAAGAAATTCTCAGGCTTGAGGTCCCTATGCATGACACCAAGAGAGTGGCATGCCTCCACCACACCAACAATGGTCCTTATCAACTTTGCAGCCTCTCTCTCACTGTAATGACCCTTTTGAATGATCCTATCAAAAAGCTCACCACCAGCACACAACTCCATCACAAGGTGCACAAACACAGAATCCTCATAGGTTCCTTGTATCTGAACCACATTTGGATGTTCTGACAAATGGTGCATGATCTGAATCTCCCTCCACACATCATCATAATCCTCTTGACACAAAAGCTTCCTCTTTGGAATGGATTTGCATGCATAGAGCTTCCCTGTTCCCTTGTGGGTGCATAGGTATGTGGTTCCAAATTGGCCTTGACCAAGCTTCTTCCCAAGAAGGTAGTGGTCCCTTAATCTTGGCGTTTGATATGGCAACACAGCCCTGCATTTTGAAGAAGATTTTGATGTAAAACTCTGTTTCTGCATCTCAAATTCAAATCTCAATTTCTCAATTCAAATGGGTGTGATCTAAGGAGATTAAAGCTTGTTTCTTTCTTTTCCCTTCTCTCTCTCTCTCTCTCTCTCTCTCTCCAAGAATCTGCTAACACGTAAATTTTTTTGTGGGGTTGTTGTTGTATTAACCAAAAATTGCCACTTATGTTTTACTTTTTTCAGTGCTGTGGAACAATTGTCAATGCTACAATTATTGTTGTTTGGATTGGATAGGAGTTGGAGGTTAATGGTTAATACTATGATTTGTTGCTTGCATATCCTAAATATGCGCCAGTTATATTTTAATGTGATAGTATTATATGTATAGTATGAGATGCTGTGAGTGCCTTACTATTGTTAATTATTATTAAATGCTTTTAAAAAAATTAATTATTTTAACCAATAAGCATTAAATATTTTTTAAAATATAATGAATACTTTTGTTTAAATGTTTTTTTATTTGAATTTAGTTAATTAATATCTTAAAATTTAATTAATATTTTTCCTTTTATAAATATTTTATTAAAAGAATATCTTTTACGTACAATTTTTTAAAAAAAATTGCTAACTTTATAAACTTTGGGAGGGACTAAAATATATTATATTACAATTTTGATTTATAAGGACAAATATTGATTCAACATTTATAGGTAAAATATGATTTATTCAAAAAAATTATATTTTATTTCATAAACATACAATAAATAAAATTAATTATATTTTTATTTTAGGTTACATTTATTTTTGTCTTTTAAGTTTTAATAAAAATTTGGTTTATTTTTCAATTTAATTTAATTTTCCAAGTTTAACTTAAGTTGTATTTTATTTTTTATTTAATTTAATGTTTTAAATAATTATTTTTAAGAAAAATAATTTTTTAACTCTATTTTATATTTTAACGTAAGAAAAGTTTTTAAAATATCATTTTGAATAAATTTTTCATAATTTTTATTTTATGTATATTTTTCTATTAAATCACTATTTAAAATTTTTAAATTATCATAAAAAACAATTGAGTGCAAATTATTTATGACTAACTACTTGGTGCTTCTATGTGGTAAAGCTATCAATTTTTATTGTTCATCATTTTTGTGATGAACTTATATCTAGACAAACACAAAAATATTCATTAGATTAGTAAATATTAAAAATAAAATTAAAAAAAATTAAAAGACATAGTTAAATAAAAAAGTTATAAGTGCCAGGAAAATTCAATAAAATCCCTCCATTTCAAGTGATATCAACCATAACCTTATTATAATAGGAAAAACTATTATAGAAAATTTGAACTAGCTATGAAATATAGCACCAATGATGTGGGCATAGCCTGAGTAATTTTTTAAATCTCTCACTTATTTCATATAAAGATTCTCTTTTGTACTGGAAAAAATGACTATGTTTGTCAATAGCTTCAAAGATAAAGAGAAAGTGAATAGTATGTGAGAACTATTGCTGCAATATAGGAACGGAGCTTTCTGACATGAAATTAAGTCAGTCATTGACTCTGTTAAAAATTGAGAATGGGAAAAACATGAGACATATAATGTGAGAGGACACCCTATTCATCTTGATAATGTTTGCCAGACGTAGGAACTTCATTATATGAAGATAAGGATTTTCAGAAGGTGTCTTTTCATACTGGAAAGCTCTTTGGATCATGTTAACCAGGGGTGTCTTAATCTCAAATTTGTTTGCTTCAATACATGAGATTTGAATAGCACTCTCAATGTCTCATTCTGAATAGCTTTGATGATAAAGAAAGAGGGAAATAATGGGTAAGAAATTGTTGCTACAACTGATCACATATAGTAATGGAGCCTTTTGGTAAGGAATTAAGTTAGTCATTGACTCTATCAACAAGTGAGAAGGCGAATAGTGTCAGAGGCTATCTCATTTATCTTGATGGTATCTGCTAGACATAAGAACCTCTTGATATGAAAATAATGGTCTTCAAAATATGTCACTCCTCAGTGTCTTATGAACCGGAGGCAAAATAGAAGATCCAGAGCAGCATATACTGAAAGTTAAAAAAGGAAGAAAAAATGAGGCAAACTTGTTTTTGTTATTTTTTACTGTTCATCACTTAATCTTTAAATTCATAGATGTTGTAAAAATATAATACCTATCAATGGCGTAAAAAACTTATTGCAAATTTTAGTAATTTCAAAATTTTCAACATATGAGAAATTGCACTTGTCAATTGTAATAAAATAAAGTATTTTAAACTCTTTCAACATTGTTCTCGTATAGATTATATTTGCAAGCACCTATTTACTAAAGTTTCTTAATTGTTAAGTGAACTCATTAGTTGAAAAGTTTGGGATTAACAATAAGATTTAAAAGAATTTAGAAAATTGAAGAAAGTAAAACGCAAAAAAATCGTAGAGTTAGCTTAATATAGATAAGAATATAGGACTTCACTTTCTTTTTATGATTACGGATATAAAACTAAAAGCATTCATAATCATAGATAATAAGAAAAGAAAAATCTTATAGTTGATATACTCTAGAATAAATACTAACTTTGTGACAAACAACATCACTTTTTAAGAATATAGTGGAAGTAACTATTTGAATGGAGAGTATATAAATATAAATAGTGGATGAGTTTTTAAATAGAGAAAAATAGAGTTGTTGATCCTCTCAATTTAAAAAAAAATAAAGATCAAATCTAAATTTAAAATTTATTCATTCTTTTTTTTTTAACATTTGTTTTTTATAATTTTACTTATTTTAACCAAATTGTATTATCACTATTTCCTAAATTAAATTAAGAGAAACTTAATTAGTTTAAAAGGTAAAATGATAAGTTTAATAAAAAAAAACTAAAATCTGGTGTATAAAGTAACAAAATAACATTATATTAATAAAATAAAATAAGATATAAAAAGTAATTTAAAAGACTAAATTGAATACAAAAAGTTAATTATTAAAATGTAATTAAAATTTTAATATAAAAATATAAAATAAATAAATATTTATAAATTTAAATAAAATTTATTCGTTCTTTAAATTTTAAAACGTCATATCAATGCTTATTTAACATTTTTTTTTATCATACTATATTGTTCACTATTTTTTTACCTCTATATACATCTAAGGAAAACTTTATGAATATTTTTTATTTTAAAAAAAAATAAATATAGGTACATAAACACTCTTATGATTTTATTATGACAGCGACATGTCATGAGTTGATGTCACATGCACAAAATAGAATGTGAAGTAGAGTTTTTATATATTAGCTATTATGAGCTTTTTTAAAATATTTTTTAAAAATAATTTATTAAAATAATATAATTTAAAATTAATTTTTTTCTACAACATTTTTCACGTGATCACAAGATTTGTACATTGAGGTAAAAAATTTTAATTTTTTAAAATAATTTTACATATTAAAAGGATAAAACTTTAGAGCAATACATATCAAAATCTAAACAAATTTTGTCTTTAATAGGATGAAAGTTTTTTTTTTTTTTTTGTAAGTTTTACTTTTTACAAGCAAAACTTAGTCAGATTCTGTCATATATCAAACCATCTAACGGTTACCAAGAATTAATTTAAAATTATTTTTGTTTTTAATTATTAATTTTCTATAATTTATTTGAAATAAATTAAAAAATTTTAAATTTTTATCTTCCAAAATTTACTTCTCTTCAAAAAAATGTCAGTAGTATTTATTATTAAATATATATTAATTCATTTATTAATTATGGGATTTTAATTAATTGATCATCATATAATAATTCAATTAATTTATTTATGTTTATTTAATAATTATAATTAATTATTTATGATAATTTATAAATTAAAAATACAAATAATTTTAAATTGCCATGTATTAAAATCAGTAATTATTAAATAAACATTTAATGAGATACAAGTGAGTTTGATGTAAAATTTATTCAGATTTAAATGAATTTATCATTAGAAATTTTTTCTTAAAAAATACTGAGTAGCTTGACATTTAAACCAACCTATGTTAATTTTAATTTTTTTTAAAATAAAATTCCACTTTGATTGTAGATAAAAGATAAAAAAAAAGATTAAATAAAAAATTATTTTAATATTTTTAAAAAAATAAAAAATAAATAAGCCGCTATCTTGTGGTCAGCGGTGGCTATCAAAAATTGCAAGGTTGATCCCTCGTCTAAAGACAAATGGGTCGGAGTTGTCACAACTTAAACTTACGACATGGAAATACAATTTCATTTATTTTCCTTAAATCCATTTCACCATTGTAATTAATGTTATATTAAAATTGCGTGTCAAAAGATACGTAATAAATAACTGTTTTTCAAATAAAAATAATTATTTGATTTTATTTAATATTTTAAAAATTATTTTAATATATCTTTTAAATTATTTATTATAAAAATAAATTATTTAATTATTTATTAACATTAAACGACATTAATTGATGATAAGATTAAAGGCAAAAAAATATTTTTTTAATTACTAATTTTAAAAAAACTTTTTAAGTAAAAAATTTTCTTTTCATTTAAAAGGTATATACGATTACAAATGTTATATCTTGAGAATAAAAAATTTATTAAAAATAAAATTTGAATTAAATACTTTATTATTTTTAAAAAATTATGAATTTGTGTAAAACTAATTAAAATTATTTTAAAAACAAGTCTTTTCTCATATCTATATGTCTATTGTTACTTTCTTTTAAATTATTTTTATTTAAAATATATAGATTAATAATAAATATTTTTATATTTTAAAATATTAAATTAATCTAGCAATAAATGTTTCTATATTTTAGAGTTTAGATTATTATATTTTAGTTTATATTTAGAATTAAATAATAATTTTTTATTAAAATTGGTAATAATTAATGTTATTAATATATTAAATTTAATGATATTATATATTTTTAATAAAAATTATTAAAAATATAAAAATATAATTGATATTATATATTTATATTTATATTAAAAAGTTAATTAATTGAAAAATATATATTGATAATGGCTAATATAGTATTAATATATTAATAAATGATATTTTTTTGTAATGTGTTGTTATATTTAACTTTAAAAATACTAAAAAAATCACGATAAAAAAATTATTTTTAAAATAACGGATATAAAAACATAATAAACAATTTATTTCAATATGGAAATTAATTTCATATGAGAAAAATATTCATGAAAATGATGTTTTGAATTTGTTGTGTAGAGTTCAATGCTGGCCTTGGAGTCAATTCTATTTCTTTCTAATATATAAAAGGGGCACTTTCCTTAAAAAAGAAATGAATAGATATTAATGTAAATTAACCTGTAGATAGATTTACCATAGTTGTTAATCATTTAATTTAAATCATATTTAAAATAATTAAGAAGTATATGTAAAAATAATAAAGGAAGCAAATATTGTAAAGCTTAGACATGGGACACAGAGTCAATCTAGTGCTCGATTATGTATATGAATATTTTGGATAAAGTTGCATTATTTTCTAACATACTTAATAATTAAATAAATTAAATTGGTCTAAATTTAATTAAAGAGACGCTTAAATAAGTTAAATAAAAAAATGATAATAATAATTAAAATATATAATTCAAATCTTATATTTTAATTTATCTATTTAGACCGAACCATTTGTCACTACTAATTTGACGAATAAAATTTTTACAAATTATTATTATTATTTTTGTAGGTTTTGTCAATTATCGAACACAAATAAATTATTAGAGATTGTTGCACTAAATGTAAATAAGTTTAGATGGTGTATTATTGTTGGGTTAGTTCGAAACTATCAGCTTGTTCTATTGCTAATTTTATATATAAAAAATAATTAAATCAGTTGAAAGGGAATATAGAGATTCAAGGGTTCCTACATAGTGTACTACCAAAATTAAATCACTAGAAATCACTGCATCATCATGCATGGGAAAAAGCAAGGTGTCAAGAGAATCTCGGAAATAGATCAGATCATGGGCCATCCTTTGCATAAAGGGGGCCATAAAAATGGGAACATGTGTTGAAAAACATGTACATGTCATCATTTTTCACTTCCCACTTTTAGCCACATTACGTAATATTTGTGGAGGACAATGTTTTTATAGCTTGGTATGATCTGTTTTTCACTTTCTTTACCTTATTATTGAACTTCCAAGAACTCAACTAAATTGTTCATTTTCACCCATCACAATCCTTCCTTGCAAACATCATAAATATTACGAGCTTAAATTTAAAAACAAGCAGTAAAATATTTATATAACTAAAAACAAAGAACTTTAATAAACCAATAATACTGGTTCACCTTTGACACAACGAAATGATCATAAAACTGATCTAAATCTAGATGAAACGAGACAATAAACATACACTGAAAATCCAAAACCATTGTTTCCATAACTACAAACCATGAGGAAACAAAATCTTAATTTGAATTAGTCTTTACAATGGAATAAATCACTCATCAGACCCTGTCAATACCTTAACCATAACCTGCATGACCCTCACTCTTGTTTGCAAAGACAAAATGTAATTAGCTGTTTCTCTGAAGAGTCCATCTAACTCCATGGAGTCACTATTGGGTATAAGCCTCTTCAAAGTCCTCACACGTCTCTGAATCCCATTGGATCCTCTTCTAGAACCACCCCTCCTCTTCATCAAAATCCTTCTCTTTGTGAGCTTTTGCTTCTTGGCTTGTGCTGCCAAGACTTTGCTCCACAAACACCCATGTGATGAAGTTCGCTTTTCTTCGTTTCCCTGAAGAAGATCTTTCAAAGAGAGGGAAACAAGAGAAGGTAGTGAAGAAACTCCCATGACTCAAAATTGAGGTTCCAACACAAAAGGGTATAGAAGAAATGACACCCCAGAAAAGCATTTATATATATGATGTAATACCTGGTACATGGGCTTGTTTGCATTAAGGATAATAAAGGATTAATAGGTGGGGACCACACTACAATTTCCAAGGAGGCTTCCAAGGGAATGGGAGAGAGACAGGTGTACCTAAGGGTGTTGCTTGTTGCTTTGGGCATGTTCTCCAACCCAATGCACATGCATCCACATGATTCTTCTTCACAACACCCCAACCTCTCTAAACCACCACCACCTTTCATCACACACACCTTCATCTAATAAGACCACCCTGGATTATTCCTCTCCCACTTTCCAAATTCAATGCATTCACAATTTCAATTTTCTCCCTTCACCCTTCTTCCAGCTCAATCAACGTGGCATTCCACATACACAAACTTATGGGGTTCATTATATTTAGTGTATGCTGCTTCAAGGGAAACCATGTTATAAGGTCATTAAAAAAATAAAGCATCACCGTATTATTATGATTTGTCACTACTTCTCTAAACAAAAAGTGGACAATTCAGATCATAATGTTGGGATAAGATAGATAATCACTGACATTCATGAACCATATTTTCCATTTTGCTTATAATTCAGTTCTCAAACCATCTTACGTGTATATCATTCCTGATCTTTACATAAAAAATTGATATTATGATGCTATAAAAAACGATACATTGTACTTGCATACGATATGAGACGAGATCCGACAAACATTCCTCCTTCCCCTTCAATTTCAATCTTCAAAGAAAGAAGGGTGATGCAAATTTACGATTACTTTGCCTCAACCAAAGCATGAAGACCGATCAAACTTCCAAAAAATAAAAAATAAAGGGCACCTGCTTAATGACGTCTACATACATTCAACTTAGAAAGTGGATGATAAAAACTAATGCTGCATGCTAAATTTGTCTTGAAAATTTATTGATGTACTCACCAGAGAGATTGGAAGAATCTATAATTTGCTACACAACAATTTATTTATTTTTGAAATTAAGTGGCACCAAATCTTCATAGATTCTGTGGTCCTAAATTAAAATCTTAACGTGGCTGTAGGAATGAAATTACTCGTCTCTTTTATCCATCTTTTTTCTTTTCTTATATATATTGTCAACTAATTAACAATGACACATTAACAAAAGAAAAGGCAAAAAAGAAAAAACCCTCTTTTAGGTGATGACATTCTCTCTTCTATTTACCAGTTCTTTTCCCTCATTGATGTGACAATTTTAACGGGGACATAGAAGAAAACACTTGACCGGAATCCAAGATATGTAACCATGTCTTAAATTTCCATTATTCCCAACATCTTATCATTGTTGCACAGTGCACACACTCATGATGATCAATCGTTTTCCTCTCTACTCCGTTTATTTCTGTTCCGAATCGATACGTCATTTACATGATATTTTCTACCTTACTAAGATTACATTCTTAAAGGCATTTTAGACGTTGATTTCTAATAAGCCATGCATCCAAAGCATGTCAAAATTTTAGACATAGTTGTGTCTTTCTCTCTTGCATAGGATCCTAATCCATGCCACATTTAAGATGCTGAAATGCTAACATTAATAAGAGCACATACAGAAGCCAATGATTTCGTGACAGACATAAAAACGAGTTCGTCTAGGCACGGTAAATTATGGCCTGCGTTTGCAATTTAAAGAATCAAATTAAGATCTTAGTGCTTGACCGAGCCATCAATAAGCTATTTGGAACAAGTCTTGGACAAATATACATGCATGATTGGCAAATATAGCACACAAGATTCATCCAATTTATTATTTGCGTAAACATAAGTTGAGTCAAACTATTTTATACATGGTGGAGAATAACTATTTAGAATCAATAGAGGAACATGGAAATTTCTCATGGCCTAAATGGAGGAGAAATTTTCTGCTTAGAACAACTTGAAGAACACATGGTTGGTCTGCAAATATAAAATACTAATAATTACATTAAAATCTCAAGCATCAATTGTTGATATTGAAACCGAATTAGAATAATCAGAAATAATAGAAAAAAAATTATGCCCTAGAAAAAAGAAAGCTCCCACCTTCAATTTTGAATCTTCTGAGCGTGGACCATAAACACAAACAAGAGAGGGGCAGTTTTGTCAACGGAATTAATGGGAATTAATGGAAAACAGAATTGTATGGAATTGATTGCACAATTATTTGTAACGGTTATTCTTTTATTTAACATAATTAGCTATAAATCTATATATGGTAGTTTAGCTGATTTATTGGGCTGAAATCAACGTTACAGCTTGTAATATTACTGTATTTATATGAGCAATCTGAATGAGAAGTACACAGTTCTTGGCCAAATATTTTCTTAGTCTAACAAGTTTGTGACTGTGGATGCATAAACACGAAAATATTTTCAACTTAGATGAGGGAAAATAAAGCGCGTTCAACGTGTCAAATAAGTTAACATTTAGCTTATTTGACTAGTTTATAGTTTAAAAAGATGGTATATAAATAGTTTTTTTATTAAGTGAAATGATCTAATTACAAAATCTCAAATGATTTTAAAAAATAAGTTTTGTTTTAATTATTCATTAAGTCTCTGAATTATTTAAATTTTTAAAATAAATATTTATATTTAACTAAAATAATTTTTAAATTCAAGAACCCATTACATTTTTTTAAATATATAGATATATGTAAAAAATTTAAAGAAATCAATAACCTATTAATTAATTTAACCTAAATTTAAACACATGTTTAAAGAATTTAAATTCCTTCCGCTTAAACATATGAGACTTCGTTAAATATAATTTCTTTTAAACTTATTATATTTTTTAGATGCAATTATATGAACTATATGAAACTTTTTTACGGGTGATTTTATTACTTATTTCTTATCTTTCTTTTTAACACCGTTTTTATTGTTCCATCATAAAAATATTTTATTAAATTTATAAATAATTTTATTTAATATTGTTATTTTAATTTTTATTGAGTTGTGAATACACAATTTTTGTTACTTATTTGATTCAACTACAACTTGAGGAGGAAGGAAAACATACATTTGTAGAAGTTCTCTAATAAGCTGATTGTGGAACATTAATTTTGCAGATTATTTAACAAGAAGAAGAAGAAGAAGAGAGAGGGTTAGTTGCTAGTAAATTATTAACGGGTGTTAATTGAAATAACGATGAAAATAATTCATTAACCACAAAATATTTGCCCTGACGATGTTACAATGTCCACTTTTGACAATTATCATTTTCAAAATATTTTTTTAAGTCAAAAATATTTTAGAATTTTTTTATTAAGACCAACTTAAAAGATTGTGTCAAATATACAATTAAAAATATATTTATTTATTTTAATATTAATCACTTTTACTACCCTACCATGACTAGGTACACAAACAACTCATTAGAATTTAAATTTTAATTAATCATCATTTTCCCGCTGTACATTATATATAGTAAACCCATTATCTAACCATTTTTTTTTTGTTAAATTCAAATTCGTTAATAATAATAATAATAAGATATCAAATAAAGGTAATAATAATAATAATAATTGGTCGATGCAACTCTACAAGAAAATTGAAAAAGAGAAATTCCGGCAAGATACCTTGAAATTGGAAGATTCTGCTCTGAATTTTCTCTCTTTCTTTCTCCATGGAAGAAAACAGACACGGAGTGACTCAGATCTGAAACAAAGAAAACAACACCCATTCTCTTTCTCTTTGTTCCTCCCCATTCACTGTGGAAAATGTCGAGCGACAGCGACGAAGATGAGCTCCTTCAGATGGCGCTGAAGGAACAATCGCAGCGAGATCTCAACTATGGCAAATCCTCTTCCAATTCCCGCAAGCCAGTCGCCAACTACGTCCAACAGCCAAAGAAATCCGCGCCTCCGTCCAAGCAATCGCAGGGAAAAGGCAGAGTCGTGGACGACGACGACGATTCCGAAGTCGAGATGCTTAGCATATCCAGCGGTGACGAGGACAACGCTAAGGATCCCAATGCGTCATCCAGGAACAGAGGCGCTGCTGCCGCCGCCGGAAGAGCCGGACCGCGGGACGATGATCGCGCCTGGGACGGCGAGGAGCCTAGTCGCTGGAAGCATGTCGACGAGGCTGAGGTATGGCACTGGCTCTGAATAGCGTGTTAAATTGATTTCTGCTGATTCTTGATTAATTTCAAGTTGTCTAGTCTAGTACGTTTATTTATAACGTGCTCAAAGATTGCTAGGTTTAACTATTGTGAGTGTTGGAATATCTTGTAGAATCAATTAGTAGTGTGTGATTCCTTATTTTATAATGTTTCTGCATTTGATTCCTTGCTTAATTGTGCTCAATAGCCTTATTGTAGTAAGAACCGGAGCTTTGGTACAATGATTGTAACTGTCTCCTTGTGGTTTGGAGGGAGATTTATAGCTTCAGGCTACCTTTTCTTAGTCCTAGTGTGTTAATGAGCTTGGCTGCTTGGCTTGTGCTAGTAGTTTGGTAGTACTGTACTAGTATTGGTCAGATTCTTAATGTAAATGGATGTTAGTGAGAGGCGGGTATGGTCTATTTCTGTGGGAATAATTCAAGTCTAACAAAATGGGCAGCGGGAGAGAAGAATTGAAATTTTGCTGCTTTGTTCATCTTGGATTTCTTCCATTAGAATATATGTTTATTATATGGAAGTACTTATGAAATTCTGTTTAATTTAATGTAGTTGGGCTTCTTTGACAGCTTGCTCGTAGGGTCCGTGAAATGAGGGAAACAAGAACAGCACCTGTGGCTCAAAAATTTGAAAGGAAAGCTTCAGCATTGGGTAGAAAGGGCCTTACCTACTTGCAGTCATTCCCTCGTGGCATGGAATGTGTTGATCCACTGGGATTGGGGTAAAGTTCATTTTGATGCTTATCTTGCATTGCTTTTGCACTGTTCCCCTCTTCCTCTTGTTAGATTTTTGCTTTATAGCTGGAGTTATCTTCCATGCTTCTTCAGTTTTCTGAGGATTAATCCTGTAGATTTCTTGGTATTGGCATTTGGCAGGATCATAGACAACAGAACTTTGAGGTTGATCACTGAGTCTTCAGATAGTTCTCCTAGGACTGACAAGGATAATCAGGATGGCAGGTTACGTGGTAATTATTTTTTTGTTATTAGATACTATGTAGCATATTTAATTTATTAAAGTCATTGCCTTTATGGTCCTTTTATTTTTCCATCCATAAAAAACTTTTTGCAAATTGTGTCTTTTGTGACAAGGTTAGATTAAGAGAAAAGAAATACCTAGGGTGCACTCTTGCAATCCACCAGGACAGATAAGGTCTTGTTTTGCATTTATCATTAATACAGATTCTTTGCACTTCATTATTTGTCAATGGAGTAAAGGTACTGTTTAGGAAGGTAAACAGTATCTGAGAGAGTAATCTATATGGAATAGGGATATGGGAGAATTTGTTGGTAAGTAGTTTGGCCTGTAAAAAATCTTAGTGATCTGAATAGGATGTTTAATTGTTAGAAATAAGAGTTTAAAAGGTGAAGAAGATGGAAATAATCTTAGGCTTCACACACATAGAGTTCTCTGGTATCATAGCTTAAGGTGGAATCACAAATTTTGACTAGAGGCTCAAACATTTTCTGATTCTTTAATTCTGATTATGTCATTTTAAATAAGACTGGTAAGAAATTGGGAGTTATGTAATCCACAACTCAGGACCCAGGTAACTAATCCACCTACAATAAACATGGTGAAAACCCAGTAACTGAGATAAATTGAGGAAATACCCACAAAACAACAGCCCATTTATAGATTAACCTAATACCTATTTTGACTTTTGTGGGATAATATTATATTTACGGTTTCTCTTAGATGTTTAACTCATGGCTATTTCAAGAGTTCCTGTTTCTCATTTGCTGGGAGGCAATTACTTTTAAGAGTTTTTCATTTCCTTTCATATTTAAATTGCTTGAGGATGTGGCCATGGTTTAGAAACAAATATGTTCTTCCTGATTGTTTCTTTAAGACTAAAAGTAAGAAATTGTTATTGGAAGATATTTTTGATATTGGAAAGATATTATTGTAATTTAAATAAAATAGGCAATGATGAGCTTGAAATGTGTTGGGTAAGCAGAAGGATATTATGTGCATGTGTGTCTAGTGGTGTGAAATATTTTGTGTGATTTGGGTTTTCCATTATGAAGGAACAATATATTGAGTGTTCTCTATCTCTCCCTCCTCCTTGCTCTCTCTCCCCGCTTTCTGCTTTAATAAAAGGTAATCATTTGGGATAATTTCTGAAGGAATGGAATGTTGAATGCATCCATTTTTGGAGGGAATGACCATTTTCTAATTCTGTGAAGTTGTTAGCAAACATGTTTACTAATTCATTTTCCATTCCTACTATCTGTTGAATTCTCCCTTTCTCTTTCATTTATGTTTTCATATCTAAACATGAGACTTGTTAACAAAATTTTTGGTTACCTGCTTGCTTGCATCAGGTTGGTTGTGCGTGCAATTCAAATTTCAAAATAATAATAATAATAATAATAACAATGATGCAGAGTTATTTTGTTTTTATCCAAAAAAAGAAAAAAATTTGAATGCTAATCTCTTTGAAAATAATTGGGAAACTATAACTGTGCACAAGTACTTACCATATTAAATAATGTTTATAAGCATGTGGCTATAAATGGGTATGTTATCAAATGAGTTCTACTTTACCAAAGTATGTAGCAAATAACCATTATTAGATAGTATTGTTGAGATTTATTGGAAAACTTATGACAACTTTCTTCTTCTTCAATTTAGCCCTCCTTTTGATTTGGGTGTATGTGGTTCTTCTTTAAGTGTTCATGATGTTGATAGCGTCTTTGATGCCATTATACAGAAAAATTGCTGTATTTTTCGGAGAACTTCGATGCAAAGCTGTTCTTATCACGGATACACAGTAATACCAGTGCTGCTGATCTGGAGGCTGGCGCGCTTGCTTTGAAAACTGATTTCAAAAGTCGTACTGAGCAGAGAAAACAGTTGGTTAAGGACAACTTTGATTGCTTTGTCTCTTGCAAAACAACAATCGATGGTATGGACTTATATTTTTGCATGATATTCAAACCCTAATTTAACCATAGAGAAGTAGTCTTTTATTCTTGGGTGACTGGTATTCCAGTCATGCTCAAGTTCTTACTCTTTCTTCTCATTGGTTGTCCTTGCATGTTGGTAAAGGAGTAAAGTTTTATAGCATCAATACCCAAGAATCTTCTTTTATTTTAATGTGAAGCACTTCTTTTTTGATTTACAGATATTGAGTCAAAGTTAAGACGGATTGAGGATGACCCTGAAGGATCTGGGACTTCCCATTTGTTTAATATTATTCAAGGAGTCAGTTTGCAAGCTAATCGTGCTCTGAAGCCTTTATTTGAGAGACAGGTGACTGAAGTCTATATTCTAAATTTTCTTGTGGCTGCTATGCTAGATTTCAGAATAATTTTATTCATGACTTCTTATTTGTGTAGGCTCAAGCAGAAAAAATTAGGACTGTTCAAGGAATGCTACAGAGGTTCCGGACGCTTTTCAACCTACCAACTACTATCCGTGTCAGCATTAGCAAGGGTGAATATGATTTGGCAGTCAGGGAGTACAAGAAGGCCAAGTCAATTGCTCTGCCCTCCCATGTATAAAATTTTTATATTGATGTAGACCTTTATGTAGGCTTCCCTTGTTTGATTGATCAACAAGTTTATTTTTGAGGTTTCTTGAAATTTTTGTATACTTGCTCCTGAATTTTTACTCTCAAGATTCATCCATACAAGAATGGCATCTGTTTGAGCATTTAGTAGGGTATATCATGTTTGTGGATTTTATCTGATTATTCTAACCATTTGCTCAGTCATGTTCTCTTACGTACTGAATTTAACTATTCTTATGGTATTGATTCAGATTCAGGTGGGTATCCTGAAACGTGTTCTTGAAGAAGTTGAAAAAGTGATGAATGAGTTCAAGTCTATGCTTTTTAAGTCTATGGAAGATCCACAAATAGATTTAACAAATGTGAGCTTTTAATTCCTTCTGTTTATGTGCTATGTTGGAATGAAATTAATTGAAAAGAAGCATTGAGCCATAAACAAGGTTGCTTTTCATTAATTGTTTGATGGGTGAAAAGGCATAAGTGAGGGATAAATTTCATTATTTGTTATGTTTGTTTGTAGATTGATTTTACTTAAGGCTTTACCATTTTATTCCCTTCATTCTTTTTTAACATGATATCTTAAAGTTTATTGAAGCACATCTTTTTGGACATGCCACTGGTAGTGGGCTAGTGATGACATCTTTGGTTAGTTTGTGGGAGATACTAGGTTCAAACATCTGTGCAACCATCCTTGAAATATTGCATATCATTTGGGCATGACCCTGGTACGGTTTATTGGATTGAATTTTGAAAAGAATTACTTAAGCTTGTGCAACTTTGTGTGTGTTTGGATTCATGTTTGAATGGTCAGGGATCCATGTTACTTCAATGCTATTAGTTGTAACTTCTGAATTGGATCCACATTTATAAAATTTTGAATGTGTTTCCAAGCATGCACTTAATGAACTCAAATCACACTGCTTATGCTAAGACTACTTATACTTTAAGTTGCTGTTTGTTGTTTCTACCCATGGCTGTTTTAAAGTTGTTGCCATCTCCAATATGCAAACAGATTGGATTGCCTTGCTGCATTCTTTGTTTTCTTGTTCTTTTATGCCAATGGGGGGGATACCTTATACTCAGCCTCTTGTACTTTAAATTAAGTTTGTTTATCTATAAAAGGCAAAAAAAACCTACTGAGTTCAACATGGATCTGTAAAAAACTCATCAAAATAAGGCCCATTGGTCTAACAAACGGTCATGTTCTGAAAATCAAGATATCAAAATGTGCTAATGACAAGGACAGGGAAACATCGTTTAATAGATAGTCAGCTTTCTAAAACAGAACTTAAGCTTTGTCATGAGTGCATATCAAGATGTGCAGGGTTCTGTTCTGTATTTATTGAATAATTTTTTAAACTATGTATTATATATTGGTTTTTGTCAGTATTTTATGTGACATTGTGGTGTCTGTAGCATGTAGAAGAGACATCAGTTAGGAACAGCTCAATCCTTATACTTTTGTTGTTTGTATTGATACAAGTAAAACCTACCTATGCTGACAGCATAATGGACTGGTGATATTTATATTGTGTTGGTGATCAAGTTAGAGATGGATTGCTGTGGTCTTGTTTTTCTGTTTGCTGGGGTGATTCTAACACTTGTATGTTCTTGATGTAGCTTGAGAATACTGTGAGGTTACTGTTGGATTTGGAGCCAGAGTCAGATCCAGTATGGCATTATTTGAATATACAGGTTAAAAAATTACTATCCATGCCATGTGTTTAAAATGTTTACCGTTTAGTTTTCATATTTAGTGCTAGAGATGTTTTGACTATATACTGAACAATATTAAAGACTAAGGATAAATGCCAATTGCTTGGATGTTGTTGTTGGTAAAATTGTCGTAGACCTGTTGTGTAGACTAAGTACTATGTTGATTTGTACCTTCTCCCCCTTTAAGTGTATTTGTACTTGCTAATTTTTCTCCCTTGGAGCTTCAATTTTGTTTTTTCTAGAACTCTTCATTTTCACTTTATATGAGATGGCCAAATTGTTGAGTTCATTGGATTTGTTTCCTTCACAGAATCAGAGAATTCGGGGTTTGCTTGAGAAGTGTACTTTAGATCATGAGGCTAGAATGGAAAATTTGCAAAATGAATTGCGTGAAAGGGCTCTTTCTGATGCTAGATGGACGCAAATTCAAGAAGAAATGAGTGAACCTGTAAGTGTAAAGTTTATTTTGATGCAATGTCATTACGCTTGGTTAAGATTTTGGTGTAATATTTTTATTTAATATGCTTTTTATAACTATTGTCAGTCAGATATCAACAACTCTTCTATTCTTGATAATACTGATCCTGTGGTCCAGTCACATCTGGTTGATCTAACTGGTGAAGAGGTAGATGCCTTAAGAGGAAGGTATATCTGCAGATTAACTGCTGTAATCATCCATCATATACCAGCATTCTGGAAGGTTTCACACTCTGTTTTCAGTGGAAAATTTGCTAAGGTATTATTATTTGATGTATATATGCTTGAGTTATTTATAACATTTAATTTTCATTCTCAGTTATGGCATGTCTAAATGCTCATGTTTTCTCTTTTCTTTATTCTCTGCTCCTACTTTCAAGTTTTAATTTCTTTTCCTCTGTAATCTAGACTCCATAGGATACTTCTGGAAATGATGTTATGATTTTTATTATTTTTTTTTGCATTTTACCATTCTATATATTTTATTTTAAAGTTTTTTTTTTTTTTTTTAAGTTGTCATACATAATTACACTTGCTACTTATTTGTGCGGCCTTTTTCTTTTCCAGTCTTCCCAAGTTACCACAGAGTCAAATTCAAACGTTTCTGCAAATAAAATTGAAGAAAAAGCTGGAGATGGGAAATACTCCAGCCATTCTCTTGATGAAGTTGCTGCAATGATATGCAGCACAATATCGCTGTATGGAGTGAAGGTAATTGTGTTTCACATGATTCTTTCTCCTGCTATAAAAATATATTTATCTGACCATAAATGATAAGAAACTTGGGAGAACCATACCAAAAAGGCTAACCGTTGTAATTGGAGAATCCAATGCCTTATAAACCCCACAGTAGGAATCCCATACTTCCAATGTAAGATCCTAGTCCCATACCTTGCAATTAGATCTTAACACCTTGCAATTCTGTACTAATATTGGTCATTATAGTCTCCTGAATTTAACTTAGATAACTGGTTTATTCTGTCTTGGAGTTTTATCAATGATCGACCTTTCTTTTTCAAGATCCAGCTTGTATTTGACTCCTTCCTTCTCTATGTTTATAATCCTAATTTTTTATATAAACATAAAATTGTGGGGCTACCTACATACCAAAACATAATCCCACAATTTAGAGAAGAATATATTCAACATGGTTGATTTGACACACAGAATGTAGTCCATGATTTTCTCTTTTTCATATTGGTTTTGGATACATATCCTGATTGCCTATATTGGTTCAGGTTACTAACATTTTTCATGAGCTAGAGGAATCAAATGTCCTCCGGTCCTACATGAGTGATGCCATAGAAGATATATCTAAAGCATGTGTGGCTTTGGAATTGAAGGAAGTGGCTCCTCAGATTGCTGGTATTAATTCTCTGAATCTAAAAATTATTGTCTTCTGTTAAGTTTTTCAGTGCATGTATCTCTTTTTGTTACAGTTAGTGCTATTCGAGCACTGCAATCAGAAATTATAAGGATATATGTTCTGAGGCTTTGCTCTTGGATGCGAGCATCAGTTGAAGATGTCTCCAAGGATGTGACATGGGTTATTGTTTCAATTCTTGAAAGGAATAAATCCCCATATGCAATCTCATACTTGCCTCTAACATTCCGTTCAGTTGTAGCTTCAGCGATGGATCAAATCAATTCGTAAGTCTATATATTATCCTATAGGATCTGATACGGTTTTTGCTCAAACCAATTACATGAATTATATATTTTTTATGTCCCAATTATGTATTCATATTCAAACCTGGCCCAGGATAATTTCTTAATTCTTTGTTTGGCTGACCATTTATAACAGTTTAGGGTGTGTTTGATTATGTTTTTTAGTTTTGTTTTGCAAAACAATTTTTAAAAACTGTTTTTTAGCAACCACAAGTTAGAAAAAACCTGTTTGATGATTGGATTTTAAAAATAGTTTTTGAATGAAAAAGTAATTGCCATAAAAAAATCTATATATTCCTTTTCTTTTTTTGATATTTTGTACAATTTTTAAAAACTGTTTTTCAGCAACCACAAGTTAGCAAAAACCTGTTTGATGATTGGATTTTAAAAATAGTTTTTGAATGACAAAGTAATTGCCATAAAAAAAATCTATATATTCCTTTTCTTTTTTTGATATTTTGTTGGTTCTCGCTTTCTCTCATTATCTATCAGCAACTCTTCAAAGAAACTCCCAAACCTTTGAAATCCACCATTTGCTACCACTGAGTTGAACATTATTGTCTTTCTCTGACAACCCTTTGACAATATTTTGAGGGACACAATACAACCAAGACCCCACAACATTTTTCGTTCATGGAAGCTGTGGCCACTTGTTCAAAAAGTGCATAAAATGCAGTGGCAAATGTGACTGATAACCCCTTTTGCTGAGGCATTTTTTTGTGGGGTAGGGGAATCTTCTCCCTCATAATCAAAAGGTTTGAAACCATAATTTCATTCACAAAGCTGCAAATGCTCGTAACTCCCTTTGTTTTGATGGATATAACCCACGGAATCCACACCTCTCAAGCATTGTCTCCAACCAGCTAAAATATTTTCCGACTGTTGTTTTTCTGACCAACCACTGTTCTGTTCTGCCTTCTGTTTTGAGTAATTTTTTTTATATTTGTTTATATATGTATCTTATTTAGGTAGATATGAATATAGGTTATTCAATTTGCATCTAAAATTCCATCCTATCCTACAAATCACTATCCACTATAGTGGCTGCTATTTGGTATTGATAACTGTGAGCTGTACGTATGAAGAGAGAAAAAGGAAAAAAGTTGTGGGAAAATACTTACAAAATGATCCACCAAGGAAATAGTTTGATATCAAAGTTCTTAATAGAAGTTGAATTGGCCAAGAACTATTAGAACTAAATGCTGTTTGCATTAGAATTTATGTTTAGTTTTAGGAACTAATTTTCTTGATATTTTTTGGGGGACATGCTTGTAATTTCTTTCCTTACCTTTGTCTGATTTTTATTGTCTAGTGAACTATCTTCTGAGTGAAGTTTATTGTTTCTGTATTTGCCATGGACCAATAAGGAAAAAAATGTCAAGATCTTAATTTGCATGAGAACCCTGTCCTGGGCTTTGCTAGTCTCTTGGTATTTTTTCTAATTGGTGCTAATATTTATATGATGATCTTTTCAGGATGCTTCAGTCCTTAAGGAATGAGGCAACAAAGTCAGAGGATACATTTATGCAGCTTCAAGAAATTCAGGAATCTGTCAGACTTGCGTTTTTAAACTGCTTCCTGGATTTTGCAGGTATATTGAATTGTCGACCTAATCTTATATCTAATAGCATACTTTTGCAGATAAAAGAAATAAAAGAAAATGAAAGCAAGACAGTGAAAGTAAAAAATGGTGTCAGAGCACTTAAAGACAATTCAGATATAAAATCAGCTTATGTTTCATTGTCAGGTAATTTAGAGCGTATTGGAATTGAACTTGGCCAACAGAGATCAGACAAAGAGGGCTCCCATTTACCAAATGGTTATGCATGTGAATTAGACAAAAATGGGCCTTCTGATCTTCAAGGAGGTGTTACGGATCCCCATCAACAACTATTGATTGTTCTGAGCAATATTGGATATTGTAAAGATGAACTTTCTTATGAGTTGTATGACAAATATAGACATATCTGGCTGCATTCCAGGTATTTTGTTGTTGTTTTCCCTTACCATATGAAAGTGTCTAATTTGTTAAAATATTGTGGAATTCATCAGGACTGCATACTATTAAAGTTGAGTGATGTTTGCTAACTTGGTTAGGTTGCAAGTGCTAACCCTGCTTTATTGAATGTATTTCAATTTTTAAGACTGATATTCAAGTTGGCTAGTAATAATATTCACCTGAGTAAATTATTCTCACGTATCATCACATTTGTCTGTGACTGAGTGACTAGTCACTTGTGCTATATACTATGTATTTACCAGTACATTCTGGTTCTTGGTTTGCCTTTAATTCAGGGGGAAGGATGAAGGAAACAGTGATGTACAAGATCTTGTAATTTGTTTCTCAGGGCTTGAAGAAAAGGTCCTTGAACAATATACTTTTGCAAAGGTAATGAGAAAAATATTGTTCCCATCCTCAAGAAAATAACTGGGAGGGAAGCAGATGAATATAGAGGCTGAGTCATAGTAGAATCTAATTACTTTTTTGGTATTGTAAACATTACATTTGTTGATTATTCTAAATGCAACTTTTCTGAATTATCTGAATCGCCTGCAATAATTGACAGTTTTCATTATTGGTTTAGTCATATCATATCACACACACTTGTAATTAGTGTATACTGAGGGATAGTAGCTAGCTGACCGTCTTCTGTACAAACCTGCATTGTGTGCAGCCTAAGTTTCTTCCATCAACTACAAATAATGAATGAAAATAAATGAACTTAATGTCTGCTTCCGTTTAACTTATACAAAGTTCTACTCATCAAGTCAGCTAATAACAGATGGTCAATGGTTAGCCTCTGATGAATTTTTTAATGTATATGTTCTGTTTGATGTGCTGGAGTATTAAATGTTAAATACCATAAAACATTTGAATTTAGATTAATAGTTGTCTGGATTAAAAAAGAATGGGTATTCTGGTGCAAGAAGGACCAGGGAGGTAACTGACACAGGGGGGGCTCATTCTTGTTGGAAAAAATTGCACTCTTTAGTTACTATTCATTACCATGATGATTTCTTGTGTTCTTATCAGGCAAACTTGATCAGATCTGCTGCCACGAATTATCTGTTGAATTCTGGTATTCAGTGGGGAGCAGCACCTGCAGTTAAAGTGAGGAGCTAGCGATGATAGTGTTTATTGTAAATATGACAGTTCTCATTATTTGTTTGTTTTCCTTCAAATTGTTTTTTTTTTTTCCTTTTTAAGGGAAATGCTGTTTTGATGTGTTATTCCATTTTATGCTGGTCTTTTTCAGGGTGTTCGTGATGCAGCAGTAGAGTTGCTGCACACATTGGTTGCTGTGCATGCAGAGGTAATTATCGCATGTCAAATGGATATGAATCCTACATTCATTTTTTAAAAATAGCTGAATAATGAAATACAAAGCATTAGAGGATAAGATATCTTCCTTAGGAATGCAACAAAATGTAGTATAATCTACTTTCTTCAACAAAATACTGATATTTGCAAGTAAATCTTGAGATCAGAGATTTCCTTTCCATGGAAGATACCAAAGGGATCAGATAACACTGCCATATTATGCTTCTTACACTGGACAAAACCTGTGAAAGGAAATGCTCTGAGTCTGACTTGAGTTTCACTAGAATTACCAAAAACCCTTTTCCTGTTATAACTAGATGCTGGACAATGTAGAAATAAATGTTTGTTTTTTTAATTCAATTATTGAATCACCACATCAGTAGTCTTGACGAAGGACACCAAAGGGGCTTTTTTATATCCAATGGATTTTGAAGGAATATTTTGTTTTCTGAAAGTAAATTTTATGGTCATCTGACTTGCATGTTAATGGACCATGGTATATACTTTGCTAAACTTTTGCCGTTGTTCAAATTGGTTTTTTGGCCATACACCTTGTTACCAGTGAATAACCTGAACATGATGTGTTGAGCATTTTAGTGATAAGCAATTCTTGCTTTAGAAACTTAGTTTGTAAACTGTGCTTTTATGTTTACAGTTTAAACAATATCTGATAAGCACTGATGTAATATTAATAATTGTTTCTTATATATGCTCGAAGATTGTCTGTTGAGATGTAATGTCTTTTGTCATAGGTTTTTGCTGGTGCTAAACCGCTTTTGGATAAAACACTAGGCATTCTGGTGGAAGGCTTGATTGATACATTCATCAGCATTTTCCATGAAAATGAAAGTAAGGATCTTAGTGTGCTTGATACAAATGGATTCTGTCAGCTCATGCTTGAGGTAAGTTGTACTGTAGCATATTAAGCCCTTGCTGAAGTTTATGGCATACCTTGATTTAGGGATGGGCAAACTTCCCCTTCACCCCCAAAATTTGGATGTATTTAGAAAGAAAAAAAATGTAGTAAACACCTTTTGTTATATTATTTTTCTATAATATAACAAAATGGAAGATGCTTCTATAAATATGTTTCATGGCCTTGACCTATGGTATTTATTTAGACAGGATGACTAAGAACTTAATTTTTAGCTCAGATTGTTGACTAGTTGACTTGTATCTCTGCAGCTTGAGTACTTCGAGACTATATTAAACCCATACTTTACATCTGATGCAAGAGATTCCTTGAAGTCTTTACAAGGATTAATTTTGGAAAAAGCCACGGAGAGTGTGACTGATGCGGTTGACAATCCAGGACATAATCGTCGGCCAACTCGCGGTAGTGAAGATGCAATTGCAGATGATAAACAAGGATCTACCGTATCACCAGATGAGCTCATTGTAAGCAACTTGATAATTTAGTTTGGTATTCATTTCATGTCTAAATGCTGTGGAACTGAATAAACTAGTAATTTTTTTGGTTCGTTGATTGGTGGTTGGGTGTTATCTTACCCTAGACATAGTTATCAATGGCAAGCTACAGCAGCGCTATAGTAGTATAATGGAGCAGAGCAGCCAGAGTCTGCTATAAAATTTGAATAACGAAGCATTTTCAAATAGCGGTTGCAATAGTAATGCTAGAGATTTTATTTTTTTATATACTTGTTTTTGCCCTAAAAAACCATTGTTTAGGGAGAATTTTTTTAGGGGCAGCAATGGTATTTCTCTTCTGCTTTTAAGAATTTAAAATTCCTAATTGAATATAGTTTCCCATGCTTTTATCTATACCACCCACACTGCAACCAGCAATATTATTTTGTTGTTTTCTTTTATTTTTATTGTTATTTACTCATATGTTTTGCTTAAGACCTATAACTTTTTTATTTTTAATTATGAAGGTATCATGAATTTTGGGTTCTTTTTATTATTATTTTTGAGCATTTATACATATAGTATAAAATATTTAATTTGTATATAAAATTTCTAAATAATGGTCATCCTGTTATATGCTATCCCACTATAGAATTTTTTGGCTTTGACCGCCAGCTGAGATTGATAACTATGCTGGTATACGCGTTTGTATTGTCATGAAAATGTGGTTTATTTTAATGTGGATTCCTTATTTTGTTAAAGTGGTTCTGGAACTAGTCATTCGAAGTTGAATTCTGTTACTAAATATACTATCTGACGCTGTATAGTGTATTTCAGTCTCTTGCGCAGCAGTACAGCTCGGAGTTCCTTCAATCAGAGCTTGAGCGCACACGCATTAACACAGCATGCTTTGCGGAATCTATTCCTTTGGACTCGGTGCCAGAACCAGCCAAATCTGCCTACTCCTCCTTCAGGAACTCGGTGGATTCTCCTAGCAGAAACTACAGAAGTACCTCTAATACTGGATCCTCGAGTTTCTCTCGGCACAGACATTGATGAGTTAAATTAGCACCTTAATTCTTCTAGTTTGTTTGCCTATTATGTATTTTATTGTAGTATATTTTTGGTTTTATAGTTAATGAAAATTTGTATTCTTTGCATTATTATTTCTTTGTTTGTAAAGGTGGATGACAATTACCACATATTATTGAGTTTTGAAGCATAGGTCGGCATTCCTGTATGCCTTGAACAGTGCATTCAGTTTTGTCATTGAGTTTTAAATGGTCGGGTTATTTGTAGCAGAATTGCTGGACCCTTTGGACTGAGATTAATGAATGTAGCTTGTCCATCATCTCGGTAAAGCCTTGCATTAAACAAACCTCAAAATTGCTGCACTTTTATCTGTTTGTTTTAGATCACTGGTTCGGAATTTTCAATCTGTGGATATTTTTCTGTACTAGTTGTATAAGCTACGGATTTTTACAATTAACATGCGTTTTAGAATTGTAGCAATTTATCTGTAGTGTACTACATTTTGGATTATTTTGTTGTGTGAACATTCTCGCGATTGTTTATTGAGCGGAGAAATGTGACGGAATTTTATCAAATATTCCCTCTGCTCCTTCCAAGACATCTTGACTTGAATTTTGCAAAATGCTTAAATAAATTAAAGTTAATTATTTTTTAAAAATTTAAAAATATTATATTTTAATTTTATCCTTATAAATCAGAAATGCTAATATATCTTTTCTAACATTCTTGATTATTGATTACAATTTATTAAAAATTGTAGAAGTTTTACTCTTATACTTTTAATTTAATAATCATTTCATATATTTTTAGTTTTTAATAAGTTTTAGTTAATAATTAAAACTATTAAAAAGGGTGCTAGAATTGTGTTCCTATCACTCCTCTTGACATCTTTGAATTAAATTTCAGTAAACATTTTAAATTTAATTTTTTTCCTCTATTAATTTTATAGCTTGTTAGAAAAAAGTTACAAACAATTTATGAACATATTTGATAAAAAATTTAACAAATTTTATCTTATAAATAAATATCCAAAGAAATGTCGTAAAATTTCTGTAAATAAAATATTTTTAAAAATTATATTAAGGCTTGTATGATTCATAGGTAAACATATTTAAGAAGACCATCATGGGTGTTGGAGAGTTTGACTTCTTCATTAGAATTATGTAATTGCTAAACTAAGGTTGGGCATGGTATTTAGGCATAGAATCAAGCATTTCAATAAAATACACAGCAGAAAATTGCCTATCAACTCACTGTGTAGGGAGTTAACTAATTTGAACCCAAAAAAGTTAACTCCTAGGTTAAGTTGCACTGTCTTCTTAATATAAGTACACCGCTCCTCATATGAAATAACCCAACATTAACATTGAACTATCACAGCTTGTAAACTCTGTTCTTTCATAAACATTGCCTTTGTTCACTGTATGTCCAAATTTGTCTTTGCTCAAAAGAAACAAAAAACAAAAAAAGCCCAGCTGGCATCTATTCTTTCAGTTCCAATGTGATTTATAATTACTAAAGCTAACTAATTAGGCATTGCACCTATTTCTTTTTGTGTTAAAAAGAAAAAAATATATATAGCATTTTTCTTAGATAACAGGTGTTCATTGAATCGGATAAACTAATAAACTCGATAATCCAAACCAATTTAAACTAAAAAACGATGCAAACAGATATTTAACGGGTCCAAACCGATTTAACCTGATGTGATTTGGTTTGGATAATAGGTTAGCATAAGTCAACCAGTAGACTCGATAACATATCTGATTAACCCGTTGACTTTTAAAAAAAAAAATTTCACATGCAATAAGTGTATTTTGAATTGAAACTTATTTTAAATTTATATATTTGTATTTGAATGTTTATATAATTACGTTGAAATTATGTGTTAAGAATTATTTGAATAAAAAAATTAATATATTTTTTAATTTTTTTTATACGTTTTTTATTTTATATTATTTAATCGGATAATTCGATGATTCTAACTGAATTAACTCATTTATATTTGGTTCAGATTTTTAAATTTTTTTTTCATAAATTCAAATCAAATCAAACCAATCCATTTTAATTAAATTATTTTTTTCTTCAAATTTGAAACACCCCTATTAGAGATAGAGTTAGCACTTACAAAACAGCAATTGGACAAACGTTAGCTCTTGTTTCAATTTTTTACCCAACTCTTATTATCTATCACTTGTTGATTTTTCAAACACAGCTGGATCTATATCAAGCTTTTACCCTCCTATACTTATAACTTCTAGGCGTTATACAAACCATTGAAAACATTTAAAGTGGTTGAGTTACCAAGCAGAAACATGGCAACAGAATGAAAAGAAAAAAAAATCAACTATTAACATCATCTTCTTTAGTTCTCTATTATGTTAGTTACATCAATGTTTTTCTAGGCCTCTTTATGTTCCTTCTCTTTCAGCCATCATATTTTGTTATTCATGCAACAGTTTCAACTCCCATTGTCATAGCTTGCTGCATGTCTGAAACGTCACCGACCAAGTTATAAACGAAGACATAATAATAGACCATTAAGAGTTATGACTTATAGTTGGAAGATAAAGATAAAGGGAATAATAGATGTATCAGTCACCCTATCATTGTTCACAGAAACTGTATGTCAATCATGAACATCTTACTGGGAAGCATCAATTTCAGATTATAGTTACCTTTGGGACAGAGTTGACTTGATAAAATTTGCTTTATTAAGGTCTTTGCAGTGATAATTGAGCAACGAATCAATATCAGGCTCCAAATTACATAAATATTCAGCAACAATGGGATCAAAATATCACATAACCTGTAAATTTCACATTATGCTTTAAAAAAAATTGATATATTTTTTATTCTTTAATCAAATATAAAATCAGATAGAAATTACTATTCTTTATTCGATATTTCTTTAATTCTTTCCATATATTATGTTTCAAACAATCAACACCAACCTTATTTTGAACGTGATAATTTCTTTTTGTGACACTGTAATTTTCCAAGATATCATCAAGGATCGATTTTCTTCAGTCAAAAGTTTTTAAAGCAATTAAAATTGCATTTGAAGTTGTGCTAGAAATAAATGCAGTCTAAATTCTTCACATCGGAAAATGAATCACGAACGATAGACTGACGACAAAAAATATATATATATTAATAAAGGCTTTGAGTCAATAAGACAACTGCGTAAAGCACTTAGTCACCAAGGCTTCAAAACTTTTTAATATTTTTTAATTTAATTTTGTATTAATTTAAGTTATCAAGTGATCAATTTTTCTTTTATATCTTTCGTCGGATTAAAATTAATTTATTAATAAATTAATACGTACTTTTCATTTATATTTTATATTTAATCTGTTACTGTAACATTTTAATAATTATAACCACTAATAAGGATAAGGTTTTATTTAGGGCATGTATTTATTTTCTTTTATTTTTCATTACAAATGCATAGCTTATTTGGGAGTTGGGAGGTGAAGACCTTGGGAGAAATCAGAATCAAAAGAAAACATGATAGGAAAATTAAATATGTAATAATAAGGATTACTTTGGTACACTTGGTGAAATTTTCGGCTGGAATTTTTTTGAACCTTTATAAATGATTTTTTTTCCCTTACTCTTTTAGGGTAAGTAACTTGAATAAATAAATTAGAATAAAAAACTTTGACTGAAGTATAATTTGATGTAAAAATATTGAATTGAATAAGTTTTTTAGGATTTTGGAGTAATTTTCCTTTTGAGTTTGAAGTAATTTGCTGAGAGAAGAATATTAACAATACACTCTTTATTATTGATTAAATTTTATTAAAAACTAAAAAATATGAAACAAAAACATTAATTTAAAGATAAAAAAATAAAACTTACATGATTTTATAATTTTTAATAATTTTAAATTAATAAAAAAAATATTAAATATTATGTTAGTAACATTACTCTTTCGTAAGATGATATTAATTGAGGTATGGGATGCATGAGTTGTGTGAAAGTTTGCAAACATAATAATGGAAGCAGCACAGGTAAGGTTTTGGTGCGCTTTGGGTGTGTTTGGTTTTCTCACAAATAGACATTACATTCATTGAACTAAACGTTAATCAAAGTGTCCCAAATGCATACTACCATTAGCCACTTACTATGTCTTCATATGCTCAAACATGCAATGCTCTCTTACTATCTATCGACTAAGCTTTCAACAATTATAAGTTCCTTTTTCAAAAGCTTTAATGATGGATACATACATGTATATAAATATTTGATTATTTAATATTTTATTTATTAAATAATCAAATAAAATTATTTAATGGACTTCCTAATGTTGTTCTATTTGATAATATTTAACATAAATAATTTATGTATAATTTTTATTCAACACTTATATCAATAAAAAAATACATTTTATATATCACTGTAATTCTTGCATGCCACTATGCTTATATCAGTTTTAAATTATTACCGATCTCTATTGATAAACTCTATAGATTGAATGATGAAATAATGAATGATTATAATAACATAAAAAGTAGTTATTAGTCATTAGCCAATCTATGTTATCAACGATTAATTTACTCATTCTCAATCATTGTAAATATAGCGTACAAAAAAGGGTATAACGAGTTTTTATACATCGTCATAATGTAAAACATATTTGTTTGAACTTTAAATAAATTGATTTTATTATATACCCTTTTATGCTCTTTTTATCAAAAATATGTCTTTAGTTCGAAAAACAAATAGTAAAACAACTATTTTGATAATTTGTGGTGTTTAACAGCATATTGATAATTAAAATTACTTTTTTAAAAATTATAAAATAAACAAGCTTAATAAATAATTAAAATTATTGAACAGCAAGAATTATTCTGAATTAACTTGTAATTTTAAGTTCAAATTTTAATACATACAATTTTAATATAAAATAATATAAGAGAATTTAAATATCTTTAAAGTTATCTTAATATAATGTAATTGCATATAATTATTTAATGGTAACTACATTATTTAAAATGACTAAAAATAATAATTTTTGAAAAATAAAGACTATATCTTAATTAAAAAAAATTATAAATTTAAATTACACAATTTTTGTAAAGATTAAATATATAATTAATTTAATAAAATATTTACTATTAATACTAAAGACATTTATTATTATACTTTATTCTCATTAAAATATATAATTTCATCACATAGTAATAACAATAATGATAATAATAATAATAATTTTAATATATTATTAATTTTTAAAAATAGTTTAGAAAAAATAAAAAAATTGTTAGTATTCTAAATTAAGATTGAATTTCTTAAATTCACGACTCTTAGATTTTATTATTGTTTTTTTCTAACAAAACTTTCTCTATCTAGAAAAAGATTTATATAAAGATAAGGATGCAATTTTTTTTTATGTTAATGTTAATTTCATTTTTA